TGTGTGAAAATATCAAAACATGGTTGTCCCAAATTCTTGATCCATCATCCGTTAGTTTTTAAAATGTCCTTTCCATTAGGGCACTACAAAACCCTGCATTTGTCATCTTTGATTAACCTTGTGCGATGTGGTCATCCCTCTTCCAGCTGGCTAGGCAGCGAAAGATCTTGTCTCAGGAATAAGCTTGTCAATTTTTATTTTATTTGTTTCCTAATTGATGAGACTCCTAATACTATAGGATGGAATTAGACTTCCATGAAAAATATTTTTGAATACTCTAGTACTCCTTTTGTTCCAACATTATTGTCCAGTTTAAAATTTTACTTTTAGTATAATTTGAACTAGAAATGAAAATTCAAACTGGACAATAATTATGAGGCAGAAGGAGTAGTACGTTGTTTTAGTAATTGCAACCCTAATGAAATGTCTAAACCGTGACCATATACCTATGTAACTAGGGCACTCTCGCCCATATAATGTAGTTTGGTTTCTGGTTGGAGTATAGTTTGGTGTTAATAAGCACTAAATGTACAGACGGAGTAGTAATAGTCCTCCTAGCCCTCCGGGGGTTGTCGCAGTAGTAGTCCCCAATAGTGTGACATTTCGTTTCCTCAAATTGAAAAAAAGAGGGTCTTCGCGGAGTGGTTGGTGCAGGGCCAAAATATGGGACAATTGCCTATTTAACCATGGGCCAATTGATGTCTATTGTCTCATATTCTCATGCACCTAAAACCATAATATTTAAGGACTTCTTCATCTTTTTTAATTTTTTTTTTTCAAGGGTCCCTCAATCCCATATTTTGTATGATTGGTATGAAATCTCCTGGAATCTTTCCTACCCTGTGGCTGATATTTTTAAGGGCTTGTTATTGTTCACAAAGACCTTTAGTATTAAATTATTCATTTATTTATGAAACCTAACTTTTGGGCCTATGTATGATGTTTATACAACACCCCACCACTCCATTTTCCCCCAATAAGAAAAATGAAAATGAAGCAACCAACAAGTAGATACATGTATAAATTGCGTAAACTTTGTTATATCATTGGATGTCTCTGTGATATAACTTTGTTAGTGCTACTAGTACATGAATGATAGTAATTGTATTAAGGTGTGTGGTTGATTAACTAGGCCGACTAGAACTATTACGATACATTGAGATTTTTGCATGTGTAATTTACAACCGTCAAAACACAATCGTTCAATTTGAATTTTATTTTTTAGTTCATTTTGTATTGAAAATATAAATTCGAAATGGAACAATAATTTGAGGACGGAGAGAGTATCCGTTACAAAAAAACACACCAGCTCTCTCCCTTTTCTTGTGGCTATATCAAGTTCAATTGAAAATGTAAATCATAAAAATGAAAAGGAGAAGGAAATAAAGTATTCTACATTTTTAGCTATACCGAATATGGGAATACTAAGATATCAATTATTTGTTGTTCAATTTTATTCCAGCACAAAAGAAAGGGATTGAGAGAACTTGAGATGAATCTTCTCTGCCTTACACGGATTCTGATATGTTAAAATGAAAATAAAATAAAATTGGACCACAGTCTAATTCGACAAATATATAGCAACCTTCGTAATTTATTTTAAAAGTCACGTGTTTAATTTCTGATTGCGGCTTCTACACAAAATACTAAAAAAAACCACAGAGACAAGTCCCGTCACACACAAAACGCAGTTACAAACGTTTCCGTACAGCCGAGGATGAGGATATGGAGACGATTCCTTAATTTTGTGACTCTGGTTTCATGAAATTCCTAGGGCAAAACTTTAGGAACATTTTCACTGTCTTCTTCCAGGTATTTCTCAATGTGACTTTTTTCCAAGGAAAGGGATGTTTTATTTTTTTTTAATGATGTACGACTGTGAGTTCGAACTTCTAACTTTTAAGATAGACACGTGAATTACAGTTATGATATTTCAACTATAAACTGTATGGTACGTGTAATTTTTTTTGTTTTTAATCATTAGTGAGTACGTCTCAATGTTGTTGTGACAATTAATTAGCCCTAATTTTTATCATTGGAGGGGATTGCAAATGTATGTGGCATGGTGGAGTTGTTCAACTACTTAAATCAAAGCATGCTGTAAAATTGCATTACATATATGTGCATGCGTTATAGCATGCGCTCCCCTCAGCCACGTCAAATATTCTTCTTCACTTGGCTAAATGGCAAATAAAAAATGGGTAATACTCACAAAAAAAAATATAGTAACATAATTTTACCCTACTCATTCGTATGATCACCCAACATTATACGTTTGTCTGCATTTTCCATCAGGGATTTCATTCTTCTTTTTGTCGTTCCTTGGGTTTTAATCACCTTTTGTACACACACACACACACACACACACACACACACACACACACACACACACACACGTATAAGTTTAAGAACCTATTATTGTCATGGGGAAAAAGAAAAGAAAGAGCACAAGTTAGATAACTCTTTGCTACAGATCCATACTTACTCCCCTATATTATTTCATGTACGTCATCATTTCATATACATACACTATGTATATAAGTTTCTTTATTTCTCCTTTTATTTTAGAAAAAGATATCTCTACCTTCTTGAGTAATCGAGATTCTTTTAGTTGTATAAAATCAAGGAGACAATGCGTAATTTAAAAATATAAACAATGCGTATGAATAATTTGTATAACCAATTAATCAGGGCCTGGCCCATCCATCCGATATTGCGAACCATTATTAACTTCCATAACCAAGAAACTTGACGTATACGTATCTGTACAGTTAGTTTGATTCATATATATCAGCTTCGTCACCTTCAAGAAATTAAATGAAGTTTTTTCCCGTTTAAAAAACGATTGTCTGATTTAGATTTTTATTTTTAATATAAGTTTTATTAAAAAAAATCAACGAACTTAGATAATTATTTTAGGGGAAAATTTAACATTGAAGGAGCACTTACAACTTGGAGTGAGGCATAACAATGATTCCCTAATACAGCATCAGGGAGTGTCCATTGAAACTCCCTTTCTAAAACGAGAAGATCCTAATTTGTAATAATATCAAGTGAAAGTTTTGGAAAAAAAAAAAAGAAGTATATATATATTTGATCCTACAACCTTTTGCCCAAGCATTACCAACCGTAAGTGTACCTATTGGCGCAATAAAACAATACAAACACTACAAGATTCTTCATCAATTCCCCCCTTATTTGATGTTCAAAGTTGCAACTTGATGTCTACAAGGGGGAGGCGGGAAACCCTAAGAAAAGGACAATATATATTAGAATTATACACATTTGACTAATATTTTTACAATCATGCTCTAACAAAATGATACCACATGAGAACAAAAATTGACTAATGCAACTTGATTAATTTAGAAATATTCATGCCTGATTTAAAACTTTCCACTCTTTCCACTTTTGTTCAACGACACCAAAATTAACTTCACTATCCGACCCACAAAAGCATATTCTTTTTGCTTTTAGCAATCTCTGAAGATTTGCCGATGACATCGATTTTAATCTCTTGATGAAGAATTTGTTTTTTTATTATTGGTAGTATGTTACAATCTTTTTGGATTTTTGTACATGCACACATTTAAAATGTTAATCGGGAGCATAGTGAAAAGGGTGAATTAATCATAAGAATCATGTTAATCATTGAGTGTGACATTTTTTTTTTTTTTTATTTCTACAGGTTGAAATCAAAGGCCCCCCTTTTTTTACAAAAGAAATGGAACGCAATATAAACTAATCTATTATTATGTAATCAAATCAACTTTGGGTCATGATGTTCTTTTGGTATTAAGTTTTTTTTTTTTTTTTAGTTGATGCATATATAAAGTAATCTATTCAATCGACAAAGATTTTGGCGTACAGCCAACATTTTAACGTTTTGGTATGAATTGTGATTAAACGAATTGATATATCTTGGATTGTGCAATCATGCATACATGTCTAGATCAATTTCTTAATAATGGTAAACACCAAAGATTATGATAATCTATGTCGGTGTTTTCTTAATCTATATTAGACTCCTTCCAAACAAATTTACATTCTCTTTCAATTTTATTATTATTTTTTAATCTCTGTCGGCATCAGTTCATAAAAAATTCTTTACCATTTCCTTGTACACGCACTCTTCCATTCATTCATACCAACAACGAAGCCCATCATACAGAAGTCTTGAACAAAAAAATTGGTATTATGATAATATAATATGATAATAATATGATACCATTTCCTTGTACACGCACTCTTCCATTCATTCATACCAACAACGAAGCCCAGTATTATGATAATAAAATTGGTATTCCTTTCATCCCATAATATAATATTAACAAGATTTTTAATAAGATAATAAAATTATTTTCGGAGCAATGACTTCGGAGAGGCACTTTCTTTTAAACCCCCAAAAAAGAGAGGCACTTTCTTGCATTTATAGACGTGCTTGTCAAGTGTGTTAATTTTATAACAACATGAGATCAATTCATTCAATTCATCATCAAGTTAATGCTTCTTGTACCGCCAAATTGTACTATCTATATGTCTCTGCAAAATTCGATCATTGTCATTGCAGACGTGTTAGAACAGGGGGCTGTATGTAGTAATATTATTTTGTGTCTTCTGACTTCTGGAAAGAGTGATTAATTCCAATTGGCAAAATGGTACAGAGTATAATTCGTGTTCTTGCATTGAAGATTGACAATGATAATGTTGGACAGGTATTAATACTTCCATCATTTCGAACATTCGACAACATTTTATTGTGGAAAACATGTGCAACTCTGTACTTCGAGAATAAAGGAATTTCATTCTCTGACTTCAAGTAAAGATTTTCCAACTTCAAAGTGGAGCATTAAACTTCAATGTCCAAAGATTTATCGCCACATATGAGGTCCCTATCTTTGCTTATTATATACTTTTCCGTCTCGAAATTAGTATCTAATTTAAATTTTTAAGTACAAATTTAACTAAAAATAAAGATCCAAACTAGACACTAATTTTAGGAAGAGAGTATCAATGCTGGATATGAAACGATAATCTTATTATGATACGAAAGTATGTATTTAGCTTCATTTGAAAAATAAAATAAAAAAATGAGACGATCGAATGAAACAAGAGTGTTACTCTCAGACGAATGAAATATTAGAAGTGCGAAAAGACCATTTGCAATAGGGATAAAGAAAGATCCATCCATGATGATAGCTAGTGGAAGTTATCCAAGCTAAAACAAGCCAATAAAGATTATAATGAAAAAAGAACAAAAGAACTAGATATCTGGCTCATAACTTAAAGAGACTTATTGCTGATTACAACCCACCCTATGCATATCTGGTTCATCATCATCGTCATCGTCCTGATCGTAAGCTTCATATTGTCGTTGTCGCTGTTTTCGCCTCATTTCTTCATCCATATTGACGTCATGTAGCACGGTTTCCTCACATACATCTACATCCATATCTGACGACTGCTTCGCCGGAAAGATTGTCTTCAACGACTGGCGTTGCTCGGATGAAAGGGCCCCTGACTCTGGGAATTCCACATTAAAATGGATGACGAGCTTACCCTTCATGAAGGGCCTTTGGTAGTGTGGCATTCCTTCATCATTTATTGCCTTGTACTGACCTGCAGTTGGAAAAATAGTACATACATGGCAGATGTCATACCTGTAGCATTTCAAAAAGCGGGATGCATAGAAAAAGTGAGATGAGCAGTAAAGTACCAGGCTTCACCACTTGACCAGGATCTGTCTTCACCAGTAATTTCCTGCCGTCGAGATGAGTCAAGACGAACTTGAAGCCACACAGAGCTTCTTTTAATGTAAGGTTATGCTCAATGTAAAGATCATCGAACTTCCTCTTGAACTTGGGATGTTCCCGTTGTTGCAGCACAAAAACAATGTCTCCTGTGACTGTATCAGGCTGCAAATGCCAATATACTTGAGCAGATCAGGTACCAAAGCATCAATCTAAATCACATGGCACATAAAAGATAAAAGCTTGTTCGCACTTCAGCACCATTATCGTGCTCCACTCTTGGCCAAACCAAACAATGTGAAAAGTACTTCTGTCTCCACATCAATCAATATCGGACATATGTTTTCTATTATATAACAGACTTCTAAATCCCTAATAACTCGGTCATCTAATTCCCATACTAGATCTACCTACGCACATCCAATAAGCTATTTAAACTATTTACCAGAAACATTAACTCAACTACCAGAGCATCTCCACTAATTAATTCCTACAATGGAGGAAATGCAGAAATTGTCTCGGTTCCGCACCAAGTGTTTTTAACCATATGTTCTATTTTGTTTTCCTTGGCCCAAACAACAGTGCTGGGTAAAGTAGTCATCTCGGAGCACTTATATTATGACTTTTACATCAACGGAAAGCTCAAAATATGATCCTAGGAAATATCATGTAAAAGAAAAAAAAATGCCCCTAATGATGCAAATGATCCTAAACTAATCCATAACGGAAACGGCCATGTCAGTTGAAGAAAGATATCTCATTCATTATTAAGTGCTTTTACAGAGAATAAAAATTAATAAATCAATAGATTAATCATGACAAGGTAGAACCACAAAGAATAAAATCGAAACAAAAAAGTGACCTCATGAACAAGTCAACAATAACAATATGAAACAAAAAAATCAAAACTAAGAACATCTGAGACAAGGTTAATACTACAGCAGAGTAACAGAAGCAGTTAAAATTTTTCAACAGGGATCCAACTTACAGCTTCATCAGCTGCACCTGGGAACACAATCTTCTGACCATGTTTCATCCCTTTCTCGACATGGACTTCAAGCACTTTCTTCTCCTGCACAACCATTTTTCCTTTGCAGTGAGTGCATCTATCCCTTTCATGAACAACCTCTCCTGCATAGACAATTATTGGATCCAGAGTTGTATTAGGCCTTTTTATCCAATTACTTTGGCTGGAATCAAAATGAGGGCCCACCAAAAGGATTCATCTGTACCTGAGCCTCTGCAGTCAGGACACACCTGTTGAACTCGTTGAATCATCCCGAGTAGAAGTTGCCGTGTAGTCGTCTTCGTGCCAGAACCTTGACATCCATAACATTTTACAGTTTTGCCACTATTGGATCCTTTCCTGAATCATTATGAACAGCTAACAATCAGTTCAAGAGTTGTAACATAAACAAACAGTACTGGAGACAAGAAAAGGTATTGAGGTTTGCAACGAACTTAGGTACCTCCTTACAACTTCGGTTGCATGGTACATATACTAAAAAGCAATATCTAAAACTAGAAGCTAGTTCCGAATTGAGAACTACCTAAAAAGAAGTATCCTAACAACCCAAGGTCGCTATATTTCATAAAGAGAATCCCGGCTAACAGAAGATTCTGCTAGAGCAGGTTCCCAGGAAAGATTGACCGTGAAAGACTACTCTGCTCAAGCCTGCATAAAACTTCCATCGGAGGTTGATTCTGGAACTAGGTTCCATGACCGTTCAACAGATTGGTTACAGCTCTAATACTAGCGAAGGGTCACCTTCAATTATTTCAGCATACTAAAGCCAAACAAAATATGCACCATAAATTTCAAAGCTGTGACCTCAGGTCTCACAAACACTACGAGTTTAGCGCATAGAGAAGCCCAATGAGAAGCTCCCACATCTAAAAGATCCAGGGTTGTCATACAATTCACACAAATGCCCACAGCCATATATTTCTAGAGCTCTTACCCTGTTTCAACCCAGACCCATGACACCAGGTCACTAAGGCAAGAGCTCTTACCCTGCTGGCTGCTGCTTCAGGGCTCTGTTATGATTATTTTAGCACATAGAAGGAAGAGAATAGAAGAATACAAAAGACGTGTTCTTAAATCTAATGTCAAAATATATAATCTTAGTGTTTAGGCTTATCCTAGCATCAGGACAATCATACAATTAACAGCAACATATTTAACCCAACCAACACAAATGAATTTGACTTCACCCAGGAGGAAACACATCAAAAGTGAAGAACAGAAAACATACCCTTTGCACTTTGGGCACAATATGTTCCGGGAAAGAGAGAGCTTTTTGGTTGTTCCATTGTACAAGTTATCAAGAGAAACTTTCAATGTGTGTACAACATCTTCACCCTGTTTTTTCCTTCCATAGAAGCCACCGTGATCTAACAGGAAGAAAGATATTTAGTCATCCATGAACAGGATACTAAAATAACAATAGGTGCAGATCATTGTCGAGCAACCTCACCAGAAAAGCCTCCTCCACCAAAGAACGATTCAAATATATCAAAAGGATTATGAACACCACCACCTCCAGACATTCCCTCTTTAAGAGCATCTTCACCATATTGATCATATATTTCTCTCTTCTCCGGATCATTAAGAACTTCATATGCTTGCGCTAACTCCTTGAACTGCATATTAGCAACAGATTCATCAGAAAAGACCTTAATTCAATTCATAAAAAAGAGGTTCAGATTCTTCTTGCAGTATGCTACAATATTTCGTTCCCAATATAATTACACAGAAACTAATATAGGGGGAAGTTCTTGGGAGCTCAACACCAGCATAAAAACTCTTACCAAATATTCAAATTCATCATATGGGTCATATGGGAAATTGCATAAAAGATCAAAAAGTCATGATATAAATGCAAAGTAACTAGGGGAAACCACAACTTCATCCTACAAAGAACAATTTCAAAATCCAAAATTTAATATATATTCAGTTTACCCTTCTGAATAAACAAAACTCTATAAACCTCAGTTGCAACAATATTTCAAAATCTTTCTTCCACAAATAACGACAAAGCTCAATGCGCCATTTTAAGGATAAGAAAAAGAGGAACCCAAAGACTCACCTTTTCAGGATCACCACCTTTGTCAGGATGGTTTTTTATGGCAGCTTTTCTGTAAGCTTTCTTGAGTTCATCTTGGCTCGCATTTTTGGAAACCCCAAGAACTTCATAGTATTTGGAGTTATCACTTCTCTTTGGAACTCGTCCAAACATGTTGAATTAGTCTTTGCTGGCGAGAGGATGCTCTGCCCACAGGATAACCAAATCATTTTAACTCCAGTTACTACCAAACTGCACATTCTAGAGCACATAATACTTACTACATTTAATAACCATGCCACAATTAGCCTCACTTTCATGTGGATGCATCGCCTAGTGAATAACATAAACAAAGAGAAACCAATACCCACTGGGGGAATATCAATAAGCTTAAAGAAAGCACTGATACCATGCCATGGTCAACAAAATAGAAAACTAACAACAGCTTTGGCTGTCAGTTAAATAGTCGCAGAGTTGCTAACAACTTATTCACCCGCCCGAGGAAATTTAAAAACAAAAAGGGGAGGTGGGGTGGAGAAAAATGACACTAGTACACAGCGTTTGGGCACCTCAATAAAAAACGAATTAAAGAATGGCAATCCAAATTCTAGTCAATTCATAGAAGGAGATTCAGTGTCTTATAACGGAATCAGTAAGCCAAAACAGTTTAGAACATAAAGAGGAACCATCATCTCTGTAAACTAATCAAGTCCATTTCAACTCATATAATCAGGCTATCATCGAAGTCCATGCTTCTGACTCTTTCCTATGCATATCAACCTCACAGTTCCTTCTCTACATTAACAATTTAAAACAACCTGAATAATAACACAAGTCCGCAGCATATTCTCACAGATTTATGCATCGTAAAAACTAGAAGTAGATTAAAAAGAACAAATGAAGAGGTGAAATTCACAACTAGAACCAAAGCAAAATAATATCTGACTCCGCTGCTTGTCCAAAAAAATCCCAAAGAAGGTATTTTTACACGAAAAGTTTGCAACTTTACGGCTCAATAAACAAACTTAATGAATCCCAGACAAACAATAGATCCAGAATCACCAACCCTTCAAACCCAGATAATGCAAAAACCACCACTCCACTTAATTGTTGGTTCACAATTACATACAATCGAAGATAAATAGACGACCAAGGAAAACAAAGAATGAACACTAATCCATGTATATTCCCTCAAAATGTTTCAACTTTCACCTGAAAATTCGATCGATTTTTGGATTCAGATGAACAGAAAAAGTTGTACCTTGAAAAGGATTCTTCTGACTTCGTCTATCTGGGAAGCTCGATAACGATTCCTTAAGCCATTTAAATTAAGAAGTATATGAACACAAAATATGTTTAGGCCCTTTAGGGTCTGCGTCTGTGACGAAAAACAATATGACAGTGAATTGTAATTGGACGAATGTATACGTACTAACAAAGTTAATGACTTTTGGGGTGAGAAATTTGTGTCACCTGCGGGCGAAGAAAGGCGGTGGAAGAAAACTAAAAGTATATTGGAGTATTAATTTAAATTGTAGTACTAATAATTGGAGGTTTATTTGTTAACCTTAATTCCAAGAATCTGTTTCAAAAAAAATAAAAATAAAAAAGTTCCAAGAACAATAGGAGTCGTCGGTTGGTGTCTATCTGACGGCTGATACGGCGGTCAGCATCGTTGGGGGCGGTTTTAGTCTGATTGTGGGCTGGTGGGAGGAAACTTTGGGCTTTGATTTTAAGGTTTAAGTATTTAGATAGGTTTTTGGTCAAACTTACGGATCGGCCCATCCCCTTTACAAAATGTGTTATTTATGCTTTTCTTTTTCCCCATTTAGACAAAGTGTGTTATTTTTGCCAAGAACATGTAACTGTATATTTGCTCCCCAAAAAAAAAAAAAAACAAACAAACCGGAGTTTACAAATGCTTGCATAAAGCTATAAGCAACAATTGGGACTAAATTTGCGGTTTCTTTTGATCCTCTTAACTCAAGACGGTTAATATTGATATATTTCTCTGGTGACGGAACAAGTAACTTAGATTTGGGAGGCTAATTATAAATTTATGGACGGAAAAGATGGTCGAACATACGTGATGGACGGTCAGCCATGGGCTCAGTATCCCCGAGCCCATTAAGGGGTCTGCCACTACATTTCTCTACGATGCATTCTTCTCGGGAAAGTAAAAAACTTTCACACATGTTCACTCATGTGATAAGAGTATCCAGCGTTATTATTCTCTTCGATTCTCGTTTTTAAATTTTCATTTTTATCAAGTTTAAGAGTAAATACGCCGGTCTTCTTGCAATTTCTTAAGACGTAGGTAAGTTTTCAGTGGATTTAGTTGATATTATATGGCCATGCAAGTTGTAATAGTACAGTTTTGAATTAAGAAGAAAGAAGAAGAAAAGTAAGTTTGTGTCAGTGTGTTTCTTTCATATACGTGAATTATATTTCCAACTCAAACACAAATACTGTATCATTTATCCGACTCAAATTAGGGAAGGAAAGCGCAGACTCCACCACGAGTCCCACCGAATCCATTAAAAAAAAAAAAAAAAACAAACAGCAGCCAAAAACGACACATAGCAATAGGCTAGCACTTTCTTGCTTACTTCCTCTCAACTTCCAAGGGGACCAATCCAGGAGGAAAGAAAAGTCGGTCTACCTACTAAACTCCGCCCCCAAAATCCACTCCCACATTTTTTATTGGTCCACGTCACCACCCCATCATTATTATTTTATTGATTTTTCATTTCTCTAGTTTCTGCTGTACTTTTTTAGTGTCCTTCTCAAACTCAAAAGACTCAATCAAAACTCCCACCTTTATATAAATCTAATCTCTCTCTTCACTACTACTACTACTACTACTACTATTTGATTGATTCTTTCCCGCACCACCCACAAAAACACGCACTGAATCTACAGTTTGAATAAAGATCCCAACTTTTTTGTGAGATTCGGATAAAAGAAGAAGAAGAAAAAAGAATGGGCCATCCAGAAGGGACTACTGAAAATGTACAAGTGAAGAACGGAGAAGATGGATCGTCGTCGTTTGATCAGCACGTCATCGTGATGAGGCACGGCGACAGGATTGACAACTTCGAGCCCTTGTGGGTCAGCAAGGCTTCCCGTCCCTGGGACCCGCCGTTGACCCAAGACGGCAAAGACCGGGCCTTTTCCCGTGGCCGGAAGTTCCGTAACCACCTCCCTTTCCCCATCCACCGCCTCTTCGTTTCCCCCTTCCTCCGTTGCCTCCAGACTGCCGCCGAAGTCATCCACGGCCTCTGCGCCGTCAACGACGACGATCCCAACGCCACCTCCTCCGCCGCCATCACCATTGATCCCTCCAAAATCAAGGTCCTTTTTTCTTTTTTCCTTCACCTCTTATTATGGATTCATTAATCTTTTCTTGATAAATGGTTTATTGGAAAAAGTATTGGAAATATTGATTGTCTATGATGGGTTTTGCTCTGTTTGGACAAATATATTGGGAATAGAATTCATTGTATGTGAAATGTTGAGCTTGTAGTTTGTTTGTATCATGGTTTCAGGTTTCTGTGGAGTATGGATTGTGTGAAATGTTGAACGATATTGCAATTAGACCTCAAGTAGTTCCTAAGGATTTGGACTTTGCTTTTGACATCTCTGAGTGTGAAGCTGTTTTACCTGCTGGAACCATAGACCATAGTGTGGAGCGGATTGTAAAACAGGTATGTATGATTTGATTTCTTATATTTGTTTGAATATAAGAAGTTAATGAATTTTCATTACTTTGAAGCTTAGCCTTTTTTTTTTTTGGTATAAATATAGATGCCACAGTGGGGAGAGACGGCATCAGATTGTCATGCTAGATATGCACGCGTCATAAAAGCACTTGCGGATAAATACCCCTCTGAGAATTTATTGCTGGTTACCCATGGTAAGTTGATTATGAGATCTGCAATTTCTCATTAAAAGTTATCATAGGTCATGATATGTAGCCTGATGGGTGATTTTCGATCAAAACTTCTGCCTAGGCTCCACAACTGACAATAGTGAAGTGCTGGATTACATTTTAAGAACTTGTTAATGATATAAATTGCAGTCTCTTTATTCCTTTTCTCATTTTAGAACTCAGAGATTGAACACCTATAGTAGTAGACAAAAACTCTTCTGCCATTTTGTTCGTTTCCCCTCTCTGTCTCCCGTTTTCTTCTTTTAGGGTTATTGAATTGGTCTGAACAGTCAGTAGAATGAGTGTTTTTTTCTTTTAGGGTTATTGAATTGGTCTGAATAGTCAGTAGAACGACTGTGTTGTATATTATTGCCATCCTTGATAGAATTATCAACTCTGTCATGTTATGTTATCTTACCGGAGACAGTCTATTTCGTTACCTCCTGTCATTATGAATCTCATTACTGTATGATGGCATTCATTGATTGGTTTTGACATGCATGTGCCAACAAATTGACAGAAATATGCTTCTTAGTGCATCATGAGTTTGTATTTTGTTGGTGCTTTGTTGTACGGAAATCTCCTGATCTCTTTGTTTTTTTCTTCATTTCCAGGGGAAGGAGTTGGTTCCTCAGTTTCTTCATTTTCAGAGGAGACTGTATTTTCAGCTGACTACTGTTGTTATTCACGCATGAGTAGACCTATATTTGTTACTGAAGATAAGTCCTATACTGCCGGAGATTTTAAGGTCAACATACTGGAGGGTGAAAATGGCCTTTCTTACTTTGGGGGTGCTTATCAGCCAGAGTCTGCTTAGATTCTCTCCTTTGATAAGATCTTGGCGGTTCTGTTTTCAAACCTAAGCATCTTTCCAAGCTCACCTACAAGTGGTATCTTCTGCAATTATATTTTTCAGTCCCAATTCCGGCTAGCTTTCCAGGGAAGATCTTTGTAGAATCTATCTGCAGTAATAGTATTTAGTTTGGCAATCCTTACTAGAAAGTAGAAACATTGATTATTCAGGCTCCATCTTTGAGGTGACACATTTCATCAATTAAAAGTTTTTCAATGCGACATGAACTTCTCTTGTATCCTAGTAATCCCTGTTAAAGTCCGAAACACTTCTCTTGCATTGTGATATGATAACGATTTAGTGAACTGATGAATCCTTCTATAATCACTCTGGCCAATGTCTTTATTTATTTATTTATTTGCTTTGCCTGGCATTATGTGATATGAACTGCTACTTGATAAGCACTTACATTTTTGGCAGACTGATCAAACCAAGAAGCTCGTCGCATTTAGTTTAGCCATATACAGAAACAAACTGAGCATTAATCCCATTAAGTGTGCAAGGATCACATCACCATCATGTGTCAATGTGGGGAACGTTAAGAGGGTTAAGATATGCTAATGGAATCGCAATTTTTTCTTCTGACTTGTATTGAAATAGCAGCAATTAGCATTAGTAGAATGAACAGAATTAGAATCATAACATACATGAAAGTGCTACTCTAAGTTCAGAAATCAGCTTAGACTAATGATGCCCATTCTAAAGAGGAAACAAGCTACCATTAGTTCAATCTAGCTAAATGGTGGAACTACTGAGACTACAAGGAATTACAGAACAGAATGAAATCTTAATACAACAATACTATCGCATTGAGAGAAGATAGTTCTCTGACACCCCATCACCAGTCTGATGGGCTAGGAAGTGGTTCAATGTGATCAAAGATATCTATAGGGAAATCATCCATTAAACTGTCTGGTGTCACAGAATTGTCCTTCTGTCCCTGAGAAACTTGAGGGCTTCTAGGTAATTCGAAACACGTAGGCATGAAGGGCAGCAACACATCACCTAATTCAGAAGAACTGCTGTTCCCGAAAGCCTCCAGATAGTTAGGATCCCCAAGGTTTGTGTCAATGTCTTCGTTTTCTAGAGGAGTTGTATATTCTGACTGGCTTTGAGGAGGAGCCTGAGGAAAGCAAAGATGTGGTAGTGCCTCCAAACTCGGCTTACTCTCTATCTCCATGAACGCCGGTGGAAAGAAAGTATGCTCATAATTCAGTGAGATGGGACGGATCAGTTCTGGCAATGGCACCATTTGAATAGGCTCAGACTTAAGAATGTAATTCATTGAACAATACTGGGATGATGATTCTTCCCCACCCGAAAAGCTAAACTTGGGTGCCTGCTTTTTATTCACAAAAGTACAGGAAGCAAACACAATTCAGAACAAAATGGACTGATCAAAGAACAATCTTCAAATTTACAAGTAGACATTTCTGATTCTATAAAAACTCAAATTTAGCGGCGTAAAACCCTCATATAAATCAAAATCCTTAAACCCCACTCCTACCTTTCCCTCATATAAATCAAAATCCTTAAACCCCACTCCTATCTTTCTGCAATTATTACTATGCTAAAAATGATTGAAAATCTCTGAAAACTGTGTATCAAATTGAACATATTTCTTACCTCCAGGGTGGGAACAGCATGAATAACAGGGGCTTGCTTGTTTCTGTGTGACCTGTGGGATGAAGATGATGATGATGCTGCTGCTGGAGTGCGCAGAATCCTTGCCAGCCTCTTCTGCCTGCTACTCCAAAAGTTCTTCACATCATTGTCTGTTCTCCCTGTCAAGTAGGTCGCAATTTTCGCCCACTTGTTCCCAAATTGCGCTTGGAGATCTATCACGATTCTTTCCTCCTCCGCCGAAAACTTCACCCCACTTTAAGGAAAAAAAGAGGGAAATCAATAATCACACACAATTCCGGCAATGAAAACCTTTGGTGATCAGCAGGGAAATTGGGGGAAAAGAACGGTCTTTTACAGAATTCAGGTCACTCCAGAAATAAAAGGAATCAATTGAATAGCCCATCTTCAGAGCTTTCACAGAGCAAAAAACAAACACAAATCGTGCACCATACATTAATCACAGAGAAGTTCGCATTACGAGTTTAACTCAAAATTGCAGGGGAATTAAGCATCAAACACCAAAAAAACCACAAAAATGGGCAGGGGAAAAAAAAACCCGCACACACACAGTAACGGAATGGGACGGCAAAGAACACATTTTTATCGGGAGGAAAGAAGGAAAAAAACTGAAGAATGCGAAATCGTACTTCTTCAAGTTGGGTCGGAGTTTGTTAACCCATCGGAGGCGGCAAGACTTGCCGGTTCTCTGAAGAAGGCCTTTGGATCGAATGGAGCTCCAGTCTCTGGGACCGTACTTCCTGACATGGTTGAGCAGAACTGCATCTTCCTCTGGTTTCCACGGACCTTTCTTTATCTCCCCCAATTGATCGTACAATCTTCTCCTCTCCATTAACATCATCAACCAATTCACTTACTTCTTTACTCACTCAAATCAGTTCATTGTGTGTTCGTTCTTCCCCCCCAAATACTGCTGGGTTTCTTATCCCCCTTTGTTGTGAAGAAATGTGAGTGACTGTGTGTGTGCGTGTTTTATTTATACTTATTTTTTTCTATTTTTTTTCCTCCGTTGGTAATGGAAGTGGCGGTTAAGGCGGTTACTGCCATCGTGCTTCCCCCGAAATCGCCCCTTATATCCACATTCCCTCGATTTTGTCATTTCAAAAAATTGAGTTTTGTGCATTTACGTTAATGCCCCGCAGATTCTTATCCATTTATATTTCTCATTTTTTACAATCCTTTTTAGCAAATAATAATGGGGTTTTCCATTAGTACAAAAAATTAGTGCGTATTGGAAAAAACTTGCGGCCCAAGGGAACAGCACATAGATTAATTTTTTTAAAAAAAAAAAAGAAGAAAAAGAATTGTGAGTCTTGTTGGAGAATGATATGATATTCAACAAAATAGAAAGATACCGAAGTAATGACAATACTTCATTAATAACTGTATACTAAATCCTTCATGATATTCCTTCTAGTTTTATTGATAAGATAGAAATTTAAAATCGTTTCATTGTTAATTTGCGCCTTATTTTACTAATGGGAAATTCAGATCTTGTATTTGTTTGTTTGGATGATTGATTATGGAAAAAAAATTTTCAGTACTAGTATTAGCATAAGCTCGTAATCATGAGACAACGAGATGCAGTTTAACAGTAAGACGTCTCACCTGTTGACCAATATATTACGTGTTCGAGTCACGTTGAGGTAAGAAAAAAATCACCATTAATCCCTTAAAAAAAAAAAAACTCATAACCATGAAACAATTTCAATGAAGAACGAAAAATAATTTTACATTACAAATGTGCACTCGAAGTGTGGGTTTTTGGTTAGTATGAATCATGGAAATCTCTCTTCGTCCAGTAATGTAGACTCAATTTTTTCTTTTACGAACTGTCTAAAATACAATTTATATAGTCTTATTAGTTCTCTAAACACACTCCATTCTATATGATTAGTTTTGTTAATTCTCAACATTGACAGCCAATATTCACTGGTATTAACCGTGAAATTCTTGAAATTATAAATAATTTGTCAATTATTGGATAAATATTAATTATTGTAATTCTAAAAGTTATGAATAAAAAGTCAAGTATTAGAGTATGATAATAATAATAATATAATAATAATATTATAATATTTGAAACTTTTGATCATAAAAATGTCAATATATTTATAAACCTATTTTATTTTATTTGATTTTGTGAAAAATAAAAAACCCCGATTTGGTTTCTAAACCCTTTTCCGGTCCCCCCTCCAGCAATCCTCCTCCGTCTTCCTCACTAGTCCGATGACTTTAAACCCCAGTTTACATATTTAGTCAAACAGATTACGATCAATTCACAGCTCTTTTTCCAGATTGACCTTCTGGGTTTTGTTCTTTAAGCTCTCGGTTCTCTTCTCCTGTTATTCGCCGTTGTAAAATCTAATTTAATTCAAAAAAAAAAAGGGCACTTTGATTGGGGAAAGGTTAACAAGATGCAGCATTTAAGGAGAACTGGAATTTTGTTGAGGAGTAGGTTAACAAGCAGCTTGAAATCACATTATGGATTGAATTCTTCCCTTGATGGTATATTTACTCAATGCGCACCAGACATGGGTTTTGCTCCCTTTTCATCTGCAGCCACGGCAAAGGCAGCGATTAGTGGTTTTGTGAAAAGAGTGAGTCAATTTGTCTTTATACATACTTTTTACTGATTAAATGTTGTTTTATTTATTTGATGTTATTCATGTCCTCCCTGTATTTGTGACGAAGTTTGTGGTTTGTTTAAACGTGCCTGGTGCTGCTTAGGATGTGCTAAAGATTTTGTCTTTTCTCTTTTATTGCTTGAAGTGATAATCTTTGTGTCAATATGATTAAATAATTGAAGTACTGGTTCTAGCTAATGTAGCAGGAGAGTTTCACTGCGTGATAAAATTATTGAATTTTGTGGCAATTTTACCTCATTTGGATTTGTTTGAGTGGAAACTATAGCAGATGCAATGTGGCATTTGGAACTAAGATTTCAATTCTTCAAGGGTTTTGTTTGTCTTGAAAATTTTAATCCCACCGGGGATTGTTAATACTGGTTTTGATGGATTGTTGACTTCACTTGCAGGAAGGGACTAAGTGTGGTAAAAACTATGCCGGAGTGGGAAATTATTTGACCAAGGTGAGCAGATTATTGTTTATGAGTTTCATGGCCTTGTAGCTCAACTTCCATTATTCCTTTGTGCTTGTTACTAATTGAGGTTTACCTTTTTCTGCAGGTCAAACACGAAGCTGGGGGTTAGTAAATTTTTACTTTGTTACTGAAACTTTAGCTGCTGTCGAGTTCTATGTAGAAATCCTCTGCTTTATCCTCTGAACAACTAAATGACATTATATGTAGAATCTTCAACAATGCAATGCTTATAGCTTTTATTACTTTCGGGGCTTTGGTTACATAAGAAGCTCTTCTCCCAAATACTTTGTACATGAACATCGCAACCTGGGCAGTTGGCTATGTGCTGTAGCTTCTTTTGTGTGCATTCAGAACTGATGTTGATGTTTATACTTCCGATGTTACAATTGATAGTCCACTTTTATCTGTCTTTTTTCATCTGCATGCTTAAATGGGAAAGGTTTTAGTTTTGCCAATTATTATGTCCTTAAAATGCTCTCCTTACTGTGACCAGGGTCAGCAGGTACATTTCCATCAAACAGGTTGTCTAGCAGATCAATTTTTGTTAGCTCCAGGTCTCTATTTCAACTTGGTGGAATGCATAAAATAAACTCTGAAGTGTCTCTCTCTGCAAGACCCTTTACTTCAAAAGCATCTGAGCCCACAGATAAAAACAAATCTGAGGTTCGCCTTTAAACAAGAGTTTCCGGAATGATGCATGTAACAGTCCTGTATGTGAACTTTGTTGTATGGTGCATCTATGGTTGTATTGTTTTTATTAATGTTGTGTCCAAGTTTTTCCTATTTGCTTCAGGAATATACATAATGTAAAAGTTGTGGCAATCATGTCCAATGCCAGATGATGTGGTTTCTCTGTGATATTTGTGATTTATTATTGGAAAAAAATTTCTCAGTATACTAATTGAGAAGCAAAATTTTCTTTAATTCATGCATCGTAGCTTCACATCATCTAACTTAGAACCACATCTAAAAGTTGAGTTATTTCTAACATGAGCATTGTATCCTCTACTCTTCCTTCTAACAGCCCCGCAAGGATATATCTGCATTCGAAGACCCCTTTGATGCCCCAACAGATGTCATCCCAGAGAAGCCAGTGACATTTACAGAAGGTGCTTCATACTCTTTAGTAATCCTTGCTGGACTTGGAGTTGCTGTTGCTGCAGGATATGCTGTTTTCAGTGAACTTATATTTCAACCAAAAGAGTGAGAAGCTCACTTTTTAAAACTCTTTTTGGACTGTTACTGTAAATAATTCTCAAATGTCTAACATCATTTGGTTTATGATACTTGTGGTATTTTCGGATAGATACAAGATTTTCGGGAAAGCTCTCAAAAGGATCCAAGATGACAGCGAAGTATGTTCTAACTTCTGCTCTTAATCTGCCTAATATTTCTGGATTACTTCTACAGGCAAAAGAATCATGCACTGATATCCTTCTGAGGATCTTACTTGTTGGAGTTAAATTTGAATTGCCTTTCTTGGATTTTCAAACCTGTCATGGTTTGACAAGTAACCTATGAGTCATAGTTGACCAAACTGTTGTGAACCTAGTTTTTTGGCATCTAAAAGATTGACAGAAAGCATTATAGTGAAGTTATAAGTTCTTTCTTGAACGGCTGGGACTAATCAGTATCCTAACCCAAGGAAATTTACTTTTCTTGTGTTTTCTGAAGTCGGTAATACTTTATAGATGCATTCAAATGGTACAGTTGGAGTGTTGGATATATTTTAGTTCTCATCACCTGTAATTTTCCAAGTGAAGTGAATCGTTTGCTTTATACAGGTCAGGGTGAGGATTGGATCCCCCATTACTGGCTATGGGTCAGAAAGCAGGAACCGTGCTGCTCGCCAGCGTATTCCAAACAAAGTGTGGGTTGATGAAGACAAAGTTGAGCATATTGAAGTAATGTCTTCTTAACTGATCTGTTGATACTGGTTTCTTGATTTCGGTAAATATGCTTCTTTTGTGCCCTTTGCGTTATTTAGGTTTCTTGGATGAACTTCTGTCTGGGTTGGAAAATAGATATTGATCTTGTTTCCGTACTGGCAATAGATGCGTTGGACCTTCCTTGCTGAACTTGCTAGAAAATTTTTAATTCACAGCAAATAACTTTGATTTATAACCTAAGCCTGTGCACTATCAAACGTAGGTCAATTTCTACATTCGTGGGCCACATGGTGCTGGGAAAGTTTATTCAGAGATGTTCAAGGACAAAGAGGATGGCGAGTGGAAGTTTACGTATCTAATTGTTGATATCTTATCTCCCTCCCGAAAGCAACTGATTCTGGAGTCCTATATCGGGGCCTGAAAGATGATGCAACATTTCTTGGGCCAAGGTTTATTCTGCATCAATTTAAAAGTCAAACCTGTATAATATAGTAGCCTTGGTTTTTGTACCAATCCAGGATATTCCCACCAAGTTTGATGTTTCATCACAACCAATGATTGGTATTCATGTTTACTGAAGGGTGTTGGTCTGAGTTGTCCTTTGTTTTGGGGACTTCTGGACTAAAGGGCATCTAAGATTTCAAGGAATTTGTGAGCTTCTCACAACCTCAAAGCCTATTTCTGAAGAGGTTCTAATCAATTAAACATTGCCCTTCTGGCCGAAGATAGAGATTACTGATTTATCCAAAATCATGAAGCGCTCGGCCAATAATTTTCTGGGGTTTTAGTCGTGTGATCAAACCATAACATTTGCAAAGCACTTAATTCATGGAAAAAGCCAATGTCATCTACCTCATTTTCGGAGTAATAAGTAAGTAGGAAATACTAAGAATAAGATTTATTATTAAATACAATAATGGTTTGTAGGTTAGCTAACACTGCCAAAGAAAAATTGTAGTAAAAGACTGCTAAACGAAATAAATAACTCTCGTGTAGCAGTTTTTTTTTGCATACCTAGTCAAACAAGAGAGCCGAAAATCAATGAGAAAGCCAATTCAGGAAGGGAAGAACTGAGACTACTAGAGAACACAACACCAGAAATGAGAACGGACAGGACCATGGCAACCCATTATTAATCAGTCCCCGAAGATTCCTCTTTCTGTGATCTTGGCCGTGCGCCAAGGCTTGTCCTTATATTTTCTCCTAAAGCCTTCATATCATCCACCTAAAAATTTTGCCTCAGTCAGATAGCATAAACAAACTATTATATCGTACAAATGAATCACCTAAATGGCGATGGCATCCAATTAAGCGTTAAAGCATGCTGGTCTGAGTTCCACCAAGGTTCCCCCATACTCTAAAGCAGACTTATAAGACAATTATTCAGCAGCAACAATCCCGAAACGAGCAGACAGGTTGATATGGGCAATGTCCACCTCAAAGTCCCAAACTAAAATGAATAATTTCCGAAGACAGGAGAAAAGTTAACCATCAATCACAAATCTATTTAACAAAAATTCAGCAATAAAAAGGACGCGTCAACTGAAATCTGCTTTCGTTACAATAGGTTATTATTGGAAGATCTCAAAGTTGACCTTCAATCTCAAATCTATATAACAACAAATTCAACAATAAAGCACGCTTCAAGTGAAATCTGCTTTGGCTATAGTAGATAATTATTGCAAGATCTTGAACTCAAACTTTCGAGATCTCAATTAGATCATCAACCAGCAGACGACAAAGAACACAGCACTGGCTCAACACGAGATTGCAAAGCCTATATCCAAATCACAAAATCCCAGGGGTTGACAAAGATTTAATGTACAATAGAGAATTGGAAGGACAATTTTTGAACCTTTACATAATCAGAGATTTCTAGCACACTCTAAAACAGTAGAGACTAATTTTAGAGCTTAAGTCAAGGCAATCCTTTTGCGGCGCTTTTCACATCTCTACTGATACACAAGATCGAACATCACATCCCATCATTCTAACCTTATTTCCACCTAATCTATGCGTTTGAGCATGTTTGCATGTGTAACTGTGCAATATAAAAGCAAGTACTCTTGGAAATTGCTACGATGCATAAATGGTTATGGTCTCAAGAGCAATCGAAAAGCTAGCTCCTCAACTTTATGAAACAGATTTTTAAGGCAAAAACATAAGAACTTCAGCAAATTTAGCCTGTCAGAACCGAGAAATAGTTCAAATTCTAGAAGATGATAGCAATTCCACCGATAACAAAAAAAAGGTACAGAGCTTGAAATACAGGAAACAAAACCAAGCAGAAATGTGGAGCGTAATCCACAAAATGCAGAAAGTGGAAAATTATTTCCTAGTGATAGGAAGGATGATCCTCGTCCCTTCCCGTACAAACAAGCAAAGCGTATTGAATAAACCCTTCATGGAAGAACACTCAGCCACTGCATTTGTTAAATTTTACATCAATTCAAAAGAATAATATAGCAAAAGACAATTATCAAACATCTCAGCATGACAGTAGTTTTATAAGTTTGTTTTCTATAAATGCTGCATCTTTCTGACAAATTAGCACAACCAAAACCCTAAAAGTCTAAAACCCCCCATTGGCAACTAACTTGATGCAAAATTCACACCCCAATTAAAAAAATAAACAAAACAAACAAAAAAAAAAATCGAAAATTAGAACGAGTTAAGGTTCTTACGGAACGGATGCCAGAAGCTCTGAGGGAACCCATGGTGGCAGTGGCGACGGAGCCGAGGAAGAGAGAGGCGATGCCGAAGGCTTTAATGGGCATCAGACGAGAATCTCCGGCATAGCCTCGACGGAAAGACGAAATGGCCCATCCCAACTGAGCCAAACTCGCTGCACCCCAGTAATATTGCTCTTCTATTCCGCCGCTCCACCAAGTGGCGCCACCACCCATTCCTTCATTTTGCTCCATTTCACTTCATCTCCGACCTTCAATCCTCATTTCAAATTTAGTCTCCTTTGAAATTGTTTTTGTTAGTACAATTTTATTTATTTATTTATTTAATTTTTTTGTGTTTGTTTGACCTTGGAACTTGGATTTAGGGAAATTATCGTCTGATTATGTGTCTTTAAATTGACATAAATACCCTCCTTTTTGGTAAAATGAGCCTTTTTTTTTCTTTTTTTTTTTTTGTAAACAACAGAGCCTAATGACTGCATAATTTCATGCTACTACTAAACATTGGACGTTTTTGCGTCCTCTTCTAACAGCAAACTAATGAAGTGCAGGGGAACATCAAAAAAATATAACCCCCTATCTATCTCCAAAACTTACTTGACGAGGGAATCTGCACACATATTATTATCTCTAGCTGTGTACATAAATTGCACCTCCCAACTAACTTGCAAAAGATTAAAAATCTCCCTTAATTCAAGATCAAGGGGTGTCGTAGACGTCTCTCGTAGGCGATTTACCATTTCTATCGCCAATGAAGAGTCGGATTCTACCAGCAACTTGGTACATCCTTGTTGCTTTGCTACCTGCATGGCGAGAAGAATAGCACGCAACTCCGCCGTCTCTATGGAACATGTCCCTTAGTTTCTATTGAACGCCAACATAAAACGGTCTGTAGTATCTCTCAAAATACCTCCTACAGCAGCCTTCTCGGAGATTGTACAAACAGCCCCATCACAGTTCATTTTACACCAAGTTGGAGGAGGTTTGGTCCAGCCTTGTTTGACCCTTCTTTTTGCTCTTCTGTTCCACACAAGTAGTCTCTGACTTCTATCTATCTCGTCTGATTTATGCACAACAGACCTGGTGATGTTATTCACATTCATGATCATGCCATTAAAAACTCTATCATTTCGCACATTCCACAACGTCCAGCATGTAACTCCGAAGTTGGCCCTCCATTTGAAGTCCTCTGCATCCAAGTTGCTCCTTATCCATTGCTTGAAATCCTGCTGAAAGAACGCTTGTCCCCGATTGAGTTATTTTATTGAACTATTTTAGTTCCAACTGTTAAGAGGTACATTAGTTCTACGACTAATAAGACTATAATTATGGGACAAGAGAAAACTAAACAAACTAATGAAGAGTTTGATCAAATTGTTAAGACTAAATGAGAATCTAATATGGGTTATATTATATGGTGTCTGCAAGAAAATTCAGTTATTACGGCACCATTTTAAATAGGGGAGTTTGTTAAGATTTATTCCCTTTGTCCCAAAACTATGGTCCCGTTTGAGATTTTACTTTTAGTACAATTTGAACTAGAATTGAAAGCCCAACTTAGACAATAATTAAGAGACGGAGGGAGTACAATTCTACATCAACGGGAAGAAAGAATAGAATTAACTAAACGGTATAATTACTCCATAAAGAAAAAAGTTAACTAAACCCCCATGGCAAGCAAAGCATCCTTGCTATTTATTGCCTGCAAGAAGCTCCTGCTTGACGTTTTCCAGTTGGTGGTGCACCACTGACCATTCCATTCGTCAATTCCCCAACGGTGAAAATTGAGACGACGGTCCGGGAATCAGGCTGCAACAGGCGAAAATTGAGATGTCCGGGAATCAGGCTGCTCATGGTCTCTGGTTCGGCTGAGCCTCTACCAGATTATAATCCTCTACCAACTTTGCTTTGCTGAGAGTATAACTCTTGCACCTTTTTATAAGTGTTCTCCAGAGGGAGTTTTAAGGTTCCAACAAAAAGAGGGTTACAAGCTCCCGTGAATATCCCAACCTGGCTGTAAATGACCATCATCTATTGAAACCTACAGAACATAATATGATCACCTGTCCAGGATGCGTTTGATACCTCATACAGACAGATGACACAAATATGAACGGAATTCACCAACTGGGAGTATATACAGAAAGGTATCCAGGAAGTCATGAATCCAGTACAGGCAGCTGACAGGAAAGATGGATTCACGACCAATTAGTTCTACCTCTCTTCCCATGTTTAATGGCAACAATAAGAGCATCCCAAGTCAAAGAGTCAACCACTCACTCACTCACTCAATATGCATTATGCACACAAAACTTGTTGGGCAGATCGTCAACAATGCTGAAGAAACATCACCCCACTATAAAGAGGGAATGAAACAAAGCACCCAAGAAAAAGAGAATCAGAGGAGAAAGCCCTGTCAACAGGCAAGAACATGAAACTTTGGCATGTAACATATTCAAAGCAACTGTTGCATAGGTTCAAGACCAAAAGCACTCGTAAAGACACGGGATTTGGTATGAACATATGATACTTTGAAAAAACATTGGAGAAATAGCATTCTAGACTTCTCAGTAATATCCCTAAACAAAAGAAAACTAACTCCAGCAGAAGCAAAACCATTATCAAACAGTCATGTAAAAGGCATGGTAGTATTGAAAAGGTTGCAGTATTTCTTCTCAGTTTATCATTCCAATGTACAATTAGGATACTTCTAACTGACATTACTTACGTTGATAAGCAGTAAAGAACACAAGGTTTAAAGAAATCAGTTGAACAACGTATACTACCAAGATAACCAAGTTAGCTACAATCTGACTTGACAGATTTCCTCCACAAAAAGTTTAAAACACATTCAACTAGCATGGTAATCAGCTGCAAGCACCACATCACACTGTCCAATCCTTGATAATTCAGCATCTCAAATCTTAAGATAATTAAAATCCTGGCTAACCTTTCAAGTAACAACAGAAATGGCAATAGTAACTTTTAAGTATCTGCAACAATGAGGCAGAAAGTACAAAGAAATAAGCTCAAACACTGTGAAGCTATTCATTCAATTCTCATTTCCTCCCCACTTTTTAAGACAGAAGGCATATGTGAAACGCAGTTGATAGCCGATTGTAGTGCTAAGTCAGTAGTAAAGAATGCAAATCAGTTGCCAACTAGAACCAAGATGAAACCAGACCAATTGAAAACACATACAATCTTAAAGGTTCTCAGATGGGAGCATCCATCAGTAGAACATACAAAGATCTAACAGTGGGGAGAAATGCCACAAAATGAGAGGAAAAGAAAACACACAGGAAAAAAAAAAGAAAGCAATACTACATTACAAAAAGGAAGTTCCATCCCAAAAGCATGACATAAAGATATGGAAAAACTTTTATTAAGTTGTCTAAACTTCAACTGTACATCTGATCTGCAACTACTGATAAATTAAGAACAAGATCCTTTTCCTAATGCTTTCTGGTCTAAAAAGAAAAGAGCATAATGAAAGCCGTAAAACGTGAAGAAGACAACTACTTTCAAATCAAATAAACCTCCAATTCATCTTTACAAGTCACTTCACTTCTACCGGTGTGAAGGGAAAGCATCACAAAATCCAAGCCTCAAGCTACCTCGGACAATCTTGCAAAAGGTTAACTAATCTAAGCCTGCAAAACACAAAAATCATTCTAAATGAGATACTCACAAAACCATGCAACAGTTTCAAAAGCTGCAATTTGGAATCAAAGATCATACCTTTGCTGGATGTTCCGAGACCTTATAGGAATCCACAGTCACAGATGACAACCAAGCACCGGGGAAAATATTCTGCAGACAACAAAAGCAGGAATTAAATTTTCAATAGTTCAAGAAACAATACCAAGTTTTGAGAATAAAATTACATAAAACAACAGTGCAATATAACTCACATCTAGCAACTTAAGAGCCATCTTTTGCTTCTTTTTAGGCCTTCTTGTAATTTTCGATCCAAACATAGCATACATATCCTCTTCAATTTCTTCTCTGGAAAGCAAAAGTGAGAAGTTAATCTTCCTTTTCTCCTTCTTCTGATTGTCCGATCTATTATTGTGGCCACAGGGGTTCACCTGCGGGGATTGGGACCTCTTTTCCTGCATCCCTAACCCACCGTTCTTAAATCCACTTCCGTTCAAATTCAGTGACTTTCTTATCGGCTTCCTTGGCCTCAAATTCCATATCTTCGGCAACGGTTCTTCATCATCAAAAGCATCCAACAGTTTACCCTCTTCCTCATTGTCTACACTTTTACCCTCCTCTTCACCTTGAACTTCCTCAGCCAACTTGCTGGTATTGGGCTTAATTTTAATCAGAATTTTCGATGACCTGCTTTCTTTGTTATCCGTCTCCAGCGCCGCCGCCGCCTTCAATTTTTTATCCGGCCTCCCCACAACTGAATCATCTCGATCAACCGAGGAGGATCTAAAGGTTCCATTCCTCCCATTCGATGAAACAGAATTCCTGGAATGCCTCCGGTATTCAATTACAGGTTTCCCAATCCTATGAGAAGACTCAGACTTACCGCCGTCATAGATCGGAGATTGGCTTGACAGTGGAGCAGTCGAGTCATCGCTAACGCCAGGTCGCAAGGGAGACTGACGCACTTGACCCAGCAGCCCAGAATCTTCGCCACAGCCGGCGGCGCCTCCTCTCACCGGAGACGTACCGGAAGTCGATTCCCCGCCGCGGGACTGAGATTGAATCGCCGGAACAGATTGCCGGAGTGGAGAATGATGCTGAGGAGAACCATGACTGAACGGCGGCGATCGATGCGGAGAAGGAGACGCAAGCCTCGCCGCGGCGGAGGAAGACCGAGGACGCTGATGACCGCTGGACCACTTCAAGTGCGACAAGGGAAAATTGTGGAGCGGTTGAGATTTCGCCGGCACCGTCGATGCCATTGATAGAAGTAGAAACCTCTATCAAAGTTTCAACCTTTTCTCAAATTTGCAGGAAAAAATGAGAGAAAGAATGGGTGAATGAAATGAAACAGACTGTTTTAAAAATTTTGGATATTTTCCAAATTCAAAGAGAAAAGAATCAGAGGAAGGATTCTAGTTTCAATCCATGCACCATAGCAGATAGCAGAAAAGGATTCTAGTTTCTAGAGAGAGAAAAAGACGGGGTAGTGTGTGAGTGTGTGAGAGAGAAAAGGAAGATGGCTTGTTGGGGAAGAGGTTCAGGGAAGAAAACAGAGACGGTTGCTAATAGAGAAAGATAGTTTAAAAGATTAAAATAAAACGGGGGTGGATTTTGTAGGAAGAAAGTAAAAAATAAGATTATTTTTCAGGTCAAAAAGAGAGAACAGAACGTGATGAGGTGGGAGTGGGAAAGCGTGAGTAGTACTTTTTTCTTGTCTTTCAATAATCCTTATGCCATTACATTACATTTTGGGGATGGATGATGATGGGGGTGGGGGTGGGGGTTGGGGGTGGATGATGGAACCGGAGAGAGGTTCAGTGATCTAGGTATCCAACTGAAGCTAAAGTTAATTAGTACTAGTGCTAATATTATTTTCTTCGTCCTTAAAAAATAGATTAAAATTGAATTTTGAATTCAATCAGAAGATGGAGAGTGTAGTGTTTCTTCTCTCTTTTTTTTTTTTTTCCAAGTATCCTGTAATCATTTGCCAATTATCTACCGAAAATAAGTTCCTAATCATTCTTACTCTCAATCATAAATTCAGATTTGAAGTAACTTTTCGATCAATTATGTCATCTATCGAAATCACAAAGTTACTAATATTTTATAGCTACGGTATAATAAGCTTGAAAGTCATTCTTATTCTTCATCATAAATTCATATTTGAGGCATTAAGTAACCTTAAATGAATTTTCCGGCTAAATATCCCCCACAAAATTGAGTGAAAATCTTAGTACAGGCTCAGATAAACATCTACTCCAAAAAAAGAAGAAAGAATACCATCTTAAATCCCTTGAACTTTATCTGGACCGTGGGCTTGGATCCTATTTTGGGCTTAGGCTATGAAATTTCTCGAGATACCTTAAAATTTGTCAAAAACCAAATCAGGCAATAGTTTGAAAAAAATACTACTCCCTCCGTCCCATAATTATTGTCCACTTTGCCTAAAAAATTTTGTCCCAAAATTATTGTCCAATTTGACTTTTTTTGGATCAAGTTACACATTTGTCCTTAGTAAAAAACATTATCCATAAAATTTTAGTGGTTAAACAATTACTTATGTAGGGTATATGCGGTTGTTTAAGGTAAAATATAGTTAAGTTTGACAAAAAATAAAATCTTTTATTTTAGTAAAACTGGACAATAATTATGGGACGGAGGGAGTATTTTTTAGTTTACGATATGTGTTTTAGTTGATTTTATCTCGAAACACATATGAAACACAGAAGCTCACTAATGTACAACATCACCAACAGCAGGACAAAATCCAAACTGCCCATTATTGGGGCTATTATGAGTACTTGGGATAGAAGAGGGTAGAGCCCATATACTAACTGGATGAGGCCCAATAATAGGGAATTTTCAAGTTTGCTTCAAGAATCCGTCAGGGGATCTGGGATAAAGCCCAGACAAAACTGGAGAAAATCCAATTATATTTTAACCGGGCGGGCTTACAAGTTTGTTTGCTTCCCAGCATTATTTTGTGACCGAAACTATAGATATCTCATACAGCAAAATGGTTCAATATTAGAATTAGTAGTGTTTGTTGGTAGTCAGAGCATCTGTAGCGGTTGCATTTTTTTCTGCGCACCAAATAATCAAATTTGTTGTTTTGCTGCATATTACAGTGTTATCTCCTCCGAGTCACAACACCAATTTTAACATTAATGTAGAATATTTCTTATATATTCTCTCGTTCTATCATTCTTTACTAATTTATAAAAAAAAAACCCAATTAAATTATTTGTATTAATATATTAACCAAAATAAATTTTTTCTTTATTTTGGAATTATATATCTATTCAATATGAAAATAATTATTTTAATATCAACTGAGTAATAAGTAATAAAATTTGTGTTAATCGATTAATAACTATAAAAATAAAATTCATATATTATCGCAAATGAATATATTAAATTATCGAATTAAAACAAATGGAAAATAAATATTATATTTAAAATAATTAAATTAAGATTATTCATTAAGTTTCTACAACTTTAAGTACATCAATAATGGCAAAAAAAATATATAATTGTATGGGCTTATAAAAGCAATTTAAAAGTAACCAAAAAAGAAAAAGAAAAAGAAAAAAGGGGGAAAGGGGGGAAGGGAAGAACGTGGGGTTTGCTGCTGTGCGCTGCTGTAGTAGCTATAACATTTTGCTGCTTGGATTTGCTGATTTGATGCGTCGTCAGAGGCTTTCTTCAGCAAGAAAGTGCAGCGCTACAGATGCTCTTACAGACTTGCAATATATATATATATATATATATATATATATATATATATATATTTGAAATAGTACCTGTATATTAATTAAAAATGCTTAAATTGTTACAAAGACTTGCAGTATGTAATATAAGGAAGAGACTAGCTAGCAATGAATTTCATCATGTGATAAAATCTTATATTGATGCAAAAGCGTGATGTTTATAATATTCAAAGTGTGTATAAAAAATTTTAGTTTTATCAAAATATTTTCTCTAACTCACAAAAATATTTAGGGTAGCAAAATGCGTAATAATCTCTTGGTTTATTGACTTTCTAAAATGCGTAATAATCACAGAGAACACTCGTTTAATTTCCATCTATTTATGGTCATCGAACTAAGCATTTCACACCATTAAAGTCTGTTTTCCTAACACCCCAACTAATATCTGTCAAAGCCCTAGCTAAATGTGGTGTACTTACGTATCCATGTATCGAACACCGATCCCTCTCCTTTGCCTTGTCTAGCAGCTTGAAAGAGGCAGGACATACTATTAATTGTTGTTGTGATTTACCATACCAAATTACTCCCTCCATTTTCAAAATATAGGTCGTTTTAAATTTGATAAACTATTTCAAAATCTAAGTTGTTTTAAGATTTCAAGGTAAATTAAAGATTAATTTCTCAAATTTGTCCCATGTTAACTAATTTTCATTTAGTTTTGGTTATAGTTCCAAAACAATTAATGAATGGTAAAATAAACATTTAACACATAAATTAATCATTAAATAATTGTCTTCTTAGTTTAAATGTAGAGGCTAAATAGACTTATATTTTGAAATGGAGGGAGTAGTACCATAAAAGAAGATATACTTTCACTCCTTAAAATAAGGTAGTACGGTACTTATTTTAAAAGTAGGTAGAGAACTAATTATCAAAACGTTCATAGTAGAGAATAAAGATGCACTAAACCTAGATAGGGGCACATATTTTTTTGATGTAGCCCGAGCTTCGTTCAAGTAACAGTAGAGAATGAAGCATTTTTTATTAATCCCATGACTTAGGGAGTTAGGGTCCTGCCCAATTTGTTCAACACCCCCTCCCAAAAAAAAAAAAAAACGTTCCTAGTATGGCAATAACGTTAACCTTGGCCCCATGACTGCAATCTGCTCTCTTTTCCACATTATGATGTCTGTTTCCAAAAGAATAAAACTAAAAAATAATAACAATAATTAGAAATAAAAAAATCAGCACAATATGTAGTATGGTCTAAATTTCTTTTGTGACTTTAGGAGGGTTTAGTAACAAGCCAAACTAATACAATTTTTTTTTTTTTTTGAAATGGTACCTATTACATTAAGAAATACATATACTATTACATTGCATTCGAATATACGCTAAATTATGTAAATCACGAATTTGTGTTCTGTTGGCTTTAATCTGACAACAATATTCAAAACGGGACATTAAATTCCTAAGGGAATTAACTACTTGTTGTGTTTCGACTGGTAGAGATCGAAGAGTTTGGTAAAACACTAAAATTTCACAATCCGTAAAAACTCTGACTTTGGTGAAGCACTAAAGCCATACAGGAATTAAGGGAACAAGAATTTGTCGCACCAATCTAGTTAGAATCGCTTAATCAGAGAAAGTGAACACAGTGACATCAAGGAACAAATCTTAGATGTACATCGTTTTGGTAGTAAATTCTTAACTAAATTTTCATTCACTTCATTTCCTCTTGTTGATTTTGTTTGTACTACGAAACTTGAAATTTGTGTAAAGTTTGATTATATCTCTACAAAACCTTTGTTCCAACTTCCAACAGAACAAATTTGGTTGTCACTTGAAGTGTTCAACCATCTGCATGATTTTATTAATCTTCACAATTAGGTATATATAATAACAAGTGCCAGCTTTTTCCATTTGACTTTCTTTGGGTCGGTTTTCATGAACTTCACCAAAGTTAGGGTTCCAATATGCGGAACTTTTGAAACTTTCAATTAGAGTACTCCCTCCCTCCGTTCCAAAATAAGTGTCATTCTAGAGTTTGCACACAGTTTAAAAAATCATTAAATAGGGTAGTTAAATTACTAAAATATCCTCAACTAACCCCATTAAAATAAATGTTTACCAATAATATTATTACTTTTGAGGGTATGTTTGGAAACTTTTGACAAAAAATACATTGGATTCCGAAAACGACACTTATTTTGGAATTTTTCTATTTTACTAAAACGACACTTATTTTGGAACGGAGGGAGTAACATTTTTTTGATATGCAGAAACTATAAAAAATAGTGTCATCATGGGGCTCATTTCTCGTTCGTACTAATTAATTTTCATTCGAATTGGAAAAAGAATTAGACACGAATAATTCTGATTAGCTTAGATATATATAAGGGCATTAATTTACAACATGCCATTCTCACCCAAAGAAAAAGAATAAAAAGAGAAAAGGAATGAGATCGATGAGTTAAATATGTTGAAGGAAGGGATGAAATTAAACATCAGTGAACAGCCGTACGAGTCTACGTTACAATACAACCAAAATGTCAAAGTTTCTCAAGAGTCGAATTTCGGAACTAGTACTTGCGTAATTTGTCAATGAGTATTTATATTACACCGATCAGAAATATTCCTACGATCTGATCAATATGTTTATTCTATCCTTAAAGAGATTAATGATCATACGCAACAAAGATTAGTTTCATTAATATTTGTTTGATATTGACGCTTCAACTGAAGAAATTGGACTTCTTAAAAATCATACATTATACTATACAACACACGGTATTCAAAATTTTCAATCTTAATATCATTTGCATTTCTATCTGAGGCAGGTTTTGGACCTAATTCACACTATTCCATAAGGACTTTCATCCAGAAACTTTTGTTCTTTTTTTTTTTTTTTGAGTTTTGAAAAATGGTCTAAGATTTGCTAGTTACAACTAATGGTTTAAGCTCCGGTTTCTCTTTTGAATGTAAAGTACATATGAAATGAAACCAAAAACTTTACGTTTGAGTATTTTTTTAGACAAGCTAACTGGAGTTGGGCTTGTTTATTGTAATAAGTAGTTAACTAAAGTTTACCGTTTGTAGTTTATCAAAGATGCAAGACGGCTTCCTTTTTCTTTTTTTCTTTTTTTTTTTTCAGGATTACGGAAATAAAAGTTTTCCTCAACTATTATGAATATAATTGAAGGATTAGAAAAAAGAAATGGAAAGAAAAGATGAAGAAGGAACTACATTTCGTGTTGGGCAGAATAATGTTCCATAACCATAACAAGTTAACAACCAATTAGCGTATTGAAAAACAGTACTAATTAACAACTTGGAATGATTCCATCAAATTTATTAAGGATAGAGATGAACAGTTGACAAATGACATTTTATCGTGGATTGAGTTCTTTTGATCGACCATTCTCAGCTACCAACTTATATTTTCTAATACTCATTAACTCAAATTCAATCTCTCTAATCATGATCTACAATTAATTTAATTTTCCAAGAGAATGAACTTCTTGACTTTGTATCTAATCCGAATGAACTGCTTATTTAATTTTCCATCTATTTATAGCCCATCAAACAAATTCAGTCGTCACAACTCCACAAGCATCATCAAATCAAAAAAGTGTCCAAAAAAGTAAAAAAAAAAAAAAAAAAAAAAACAAACAAAGAGCCAGCCTTATAATTTAATCGGTCCCAATGGATCGAACACCAATCCTCTCCTTTGCCTTCTTGCAGCTCTTGATAATCTTGCTGCCAGTACTTCATCAAACGTGTTGCCGGAATCCGGTGGCTTCCGCTGCCGGAGGCAAATGGGCCTTACTTCAACCAAATATAGGCATACCAGCCATGCACATGCAGCTCCTCCACTTCGACAAAGTAGCCATATTAGACCAAACCACTTTTGGCCCGTCTTCCAATCTCGCTTTGCCGGGTGGGAAATGCGTAAATGGCCCAGTAGGAAAAGATTGTACAGCCCATTCTGTTGAGTACGACGTTGTTAAAAACACCTTTCGTCCTCTCACGGTCCAAACCGATGTCTGGTGCTCTTCCGGTTCGGTGATGCCGGACGGAACATTCGTCCAAACCGGAGGAAATGGTCTCGGCGGAAACGTGGTTAGAGTGCTCAATTCTTGCCCTTCTGGAGGATTATGTGATTGGAATGAAAGACCTAATTCTTTGTTGGCTCCAAGGTGGTATGCGTCGAATCATGTTTTGCCAGGTGGCAGACAAATAGTTATCGGCGGTCGCGGGCAATTCAACTATGAATTTTACCCGAAGACCGCCGCGACGAATAAACTATTTAACCTTCCTTTTCTAAGCCAAACAAATGATCGCGGAGCGGAAAACAATTTATACCCTTTGGTCATTCAGAATGTGGATGGCACTTTATTCATTTTCGCCAACAACCGGGCTATTCTGCTTAATTACAATACCGGGGCGGTTGTGAAGACATATCCGACTCTCCCTGATGGTAACCCGAGGTCGTACCCGAGTACCGGTTCAGGGGTACTTTTGCCATTGAAAAATCTTCAAGGAAGAGTTCAAGCTGAGGTGTTGGTTTGTGGGGGTGCGCCAAAAGGTGCATTCCAAAATGCTGCAAGAGGTGTTTTTATGGGCGCTTTAAACACGTGCGGTAGGATGAGTATAACCGATCCGGTCCCACGATGGGTCATGGAAACTATGCCTCTAGCTCGGGTTCTGGGAGATATGAAACTGTTACCCGATGGCAGTGTTATAATAATTAACGGGGCGGCTCGTGGAACGGCCGGGTGGGAGCTCGGTCGAGACCCGGTTCTTTCACCTGTTATCTACAATCCTGACGCACGTTTTGGAGCCCGATTTACGGTACAAAACCCCTCTACTAGACCGAGAATGTACCACTCCACGGCGAATTTACTTCGCGATGGCCGGGTCCTGGTAGGCGGTAGTAGCTCTCACGGTGGTTACGTTTATAAAGGTACACCCTATCCAACTGACTTGAGTTTGGAAGCCTTCTCGCCCTCCTATTTGGATCCGGCATTTGCTCCATTACGCCCCCAGATCATTTTACCTGTTTCGCAATTCGTGATCCACTATAATCAACCTTTGGTTATTCGTTTCGTGGTTACCGGAGCGGTGAATGTTAATTTGGTCAAGGTAACAATGGTTTCACCTTCTTTTACTACACATTCGATGTCCATGAACCAAAGGATGTTGGTGCTAAGTGTTGCGCAAGGTGCCAGACTTATTGGTAAGTCAACATATCAAATTACTGTCACTACGCCACCCAACATCAATCTGGCGCCTCAAGGGTACTACATGCTTTTTGTGGTGCACCAAAACATTCCTAGTGTTGGTATTTGGGTCCAATTGCTGTAAAAAAAATATGAGGAGAATCTCCATCTTTTACTGTCGCACAATCCATTTGTCTCTTCACGATGGAAATTAACTTGAGAGAAGAAGTTTGTAATTAATTATAAAGCAGTGTGAAATATTCCAAAAATAATTTATATAATGTATTCACTTGAATGTTATTGCCACCCAAGTTGTACAGTTCAAGACTACTCAATTGTATCATTTTATTATACCTTAATGGCTTGAATAAAAGTATGTATTGTTTGTAGTCCTTTTGTGATTAAATCTTTAAAATATTAGATAGTCATTTTCATAGCTAGTGTAATTTAACTTTGGGGATTGAAAGAATACAAACAATAAAATTAGGCTATTGCGTGGTGAGATGTATGTATATGAATTGTTAATAATGTGTTCATATATATATATATATATATATATATCTATTCACAAGAGGCTGTTGTGGTGGTAGATGTTTAATTTTATAACCAAATCTTGCATCTCAAGGTATCTCGTCAGTCAATATTCTCCTTGATTAATTATAGTTTCATTTCATGCACCTGTTCTGTTGTTCACACGTAAGGGTTGAGCAGTCTTTCATATTCGTTTATATATAAGATGTAGTGTTGTATCTCTGTCTCATTTCAAGCTGGAATTATATGAATTATTCAACCAACGATACAAAGATAAGTTCGTTAATCAAGTTGCGCGTGATAGTCAACTTACATCAAATGGCGAAATCTTGGATTGTAAGGAACATTTATAGATCGTTCATCCGGAATTTGCGTTGTTTTGGTTGATTATAAATTTTATAAAAATTGGTATCTTTCTCTTAGGTTCTTAGGATTTCTCTTAGGTTCTGAAATTGGTATCCTTCTCTATGTTAAAAAAAAAAGAATTGAGAAAAAATCAGTGTAGAGATAAAGTCACTTGTGCTAATTACCACGAGTTACACAACTCTTTTTTTTTATATATATCAAAAGTTACACAACTCACTCAATTCACGGCTTTTATACTTTTTTTTTTTTTTTTACAATGAAAGAAGCCGAAGTTTAATATCCTAAAATTATTACACTATGTGGGTGAATCTCCTTATCAAGTCAGGTTTCAACAGCGCGTCAAATGAAAATAATAAGAGACAACTATAGAAATCTATGGGGTTCCACCTCAAAACCAATTGGCAATAAGGGGTGTAGCCCATGGTGCTTATATACTGATACAAAGTGTCTCCAGACACCAATATGAGATAAATACTTCAACACTCCCCCTCAAGCCCAACGGGTTTGGACTAAATCACCAGGATCAGGAAATAAACCGTGGAATAACATCACGGGCCGCGAAATAACGTCGCGGACTTAAATTGGGCCACGGAATAACATCGTGGGCCTAAAATCACCACAAGCCGAGCCCGCTCTGATACCATATAGAAACCCATGGAGTTCCACCTCAAAACCAATTGGCAATGAGGGAAATAGCCCATGATGCTTATATACTGATACAAAGTGTCTCCAAACACCAATCTATAGTATTATACTAAGAGAGAAACCAGAAAGAGAAAACAAAAAAGAATTCTAAAGGATTTTATCCTATGTGCCATTTTTCTAATGGTTGAATCAAAAAATATTTACAACAATTATACTAATAGTCCTTCAAATTTTATGTAAATAAAGTTTTATCAAATGGCATTTAAAACTATAGTTTAAAATAGGAAAATAAAAATTAATTAAATTTAATGGACAAAATTAATGAACATTAATGCACCAGAATTATTCCCTCCCCAAAAGAATCCCCAAAACTACTACTGGACTCATTTAATTAATCTCTCTAAAAAAAAAACTCCCTTCCAATCATGTAAATCAATAGACTACTATTCAAAAAAAAAAAAACCAATCATTCAACATTAATTTTATCTTTAAAATCTTCTCCTAAAAACATGACTCTGTATTTTTTGCCAATAAAAAAAAAAGGTACAAAACTTGCCTTCAATTATTACTAAAATGATGGGATTTAACTATAACTAAATGTTATCTTTTGAATTTCAAACCAATGCATTTTTTTGTGTAATATCATATCTACCCAAATAAATATAATCTTTCCTTAATAATATCTCAAAAATTGTTATAAACTTTATCTTTATCACTGAAATTTTTCATAATCAATTATCATCAATTCCAATTTATCTCTATTTATACATGCCACACAAAACCATGAGTATGTTCCAATGCTGTAAAAATTTCCCCCTCCCAAAACAAGCTGAAATCCAAAGATGAAAGGGCAAAAACTTTAGCGCTACAGCTGGTTTGTTGTTCTGAAAGTGATGAACTAATAGTGAGTCGATCGTGTGGCATGGGAGGTAATGGTTAATTAAGGTTATATATGATTTTTTTTTTCCCGTATGTTCTTCTGCAAAATGATGTTGTAGGGTTCTTTTTTAGACGTTATTAAATTTATGTTTTTTTTACCTATAATTTCATTAATTATTATTTTCTATTGTTATAGCAAAAAGGGATTAAAGGGCAAAAATTTTAACTCTACATTTGTTGCTCTAAAATATTAAGCATTGGGCCAAACAATACCATAGAATTTTTATTTCCAACAAAATAACCATAAAAATTTTAAATTTCACACTTCAGTCACACATAATTTACCATCTACTACTGATAATTACTTCATTATTTATTTGACGCGTACAATCATTTTATCTTTTCATTCAATGTGTAAAATTAATACAATCTTATTTATTTTACTCTGCTTATGAGTGTTATTGTCCAGTTCTTCTCCTTCAATAAAAATCAAGTGAATACTTGCATTTCAAATGATATGCATTATTTTATCTTTACAATTACGCCTTTATTTAATTTTAGTTGTGTAATGTATCTTAATATGGACTTCAAATACATTTTACACTTTTTATATTTTTTTTATTGATTTTTTATAATATATATAAATAAACCCCGCGCATCGCGCGCGGGTTTAACATCTAGTGTGGGATAAATATTTCAACAACTACGCATCGAAATTTTATCCCATCTAACAGCTCATTTATGTACTGCATGCTCTTTCCATAAAGACCCGAACCCCTCCGTCGACCTTGTGTTATCCATTTATACTTTTCACTTCTTTGTTGACTATATAATCACGCCATTGAAGGCATTAATTGGACAGGAATGCTAGTTAGGAGGTCCCTAACTTCTTCGGGCAATAGTATTATATTGAAAATTTTGATGTGTATAATCCTACATTGTTGGCGGCTACTTTGGCTATCTGCTCATAAACTCTCTTTCTACGATAATTATGCTTCAAAGTTTTTCGTCATTTTGAGCTAAGACTAACATAAGTTTTCAATGAGTTTTAAATATTACTAAGATTTATTATATTTTTCTTCGTATATAAATCATGGATTAGTTCTAAATTTGTATCCACCTTTTTAGTGCAACCAACTAATATGGATTAATATTTGATTTTTTTGGAACTCATGAATTTCTCTCTCTCTCTTGTAAAAATATTACCTTTCACGTTTTTGTATATAGGATGTACAACTGATGTGGTACAACGGCTGTACTGAAGATTTACTCGCACATTACACTCCGAGAAATTATATTCATACCCAAATTATTTTGCTTTAAGTTATGTAGAAAGAGCATAAAGATTGCCCCTATCTAGCATTGATGAAATTGAAGCCTTGGATTCACCAGCTCCTAATTAATAATATTTCGAAAGCTATATGTCCATGAGGACTCATTGCACCGATCCGAAATATTCCGACCAACTCTTTAATTTTACATGACATGCCATTCTTGTTAACTCAGTATACTTTGGATTAAATTATTATGTTAAATTAATATAAAGGTACTCTCTTAGTCCCGAATTAATTTTTGTCTATTTTAGATTTTTAATTTCAGTTCAAATTGAACTAAAAGTGAAAATTTAAAGTATAAAATTATTTTGAGACAAATGGAGGACATTTTTGGTGAGCTTCTAAACTTTAACTAGTTAATATAGCCTAATACCCCCCCTTCCCTAATCGTAAATATCTGAGATACACATGAATAGAAATATGCAGGATTATTGTTTAATTGCGAATGTTCCTCTGCCCCTCTAGTTGTATAATCCATGCGAGAATGATATTTCCTGTGATTTGGTGTTGTTACTACTAAACAAACTTGAGACAACTTAATAAGTTAATTTGTTGAAGTGACTGATGAGGTTTCATGAAAAAAGAAAAACAAATTCTGCCGCACTTACGAGTTTATTATGTATTCTGCATCCATCGATTTCGCACTTAATTAAATCCGTCACCGAAAATTTGTTGAGAGGTTGGTATTGGGTGGCATGGGATTCCCTATGTTATTACTAAGAAAAAATGTGTTCACAAATAACAACTGCCAGCTCTTCTCTTCTCCTCTCAATAAATTTTCCAACTCCGAGCTCCCTGATAAAGAATTTCGTGATTCTAACGCTTCAACTAAAGAATCTCATACACCAAATTAATTTTGACTTTCTAAAATAAAAAACTTAATTATACAAGGTGAACTATTAACAAGTTAAGAAGTTTTTTCTTCTTCCCCTCTAAGAAGGTTAATTTCGTGTGACAATTACATCGCATCTTTGGAAAATCCGGAATACGAAATCTCTTAAAAAATTGTTACAATCACTCTTTATAACCATTGTTATATATATATATATATATATTACAGTATCTATAGAGAATAATTACGCCAGGCGAAAATTTAATGGAAAGGTCCTATAGAGAGTGATAAGAATATATTTGAGGATATTCTAGTTACAGAATTGATCACGCTTTAAACTAACTGTTTTCTCTCTGTTGAATAGACGAAGGTAAAAAAATTGCAAAATTCTTGATTTGCTTGAGGACGACCCGATTTATATACATTATTGATTCATATAGCTGACGTTTACATTTTATATGTAACCTTATAAATTCTATTAATTCATGAGAGTACGAGACTTTGAAAAATAATATGCTCCACCAACTTTTGCAATTACAACAACCTTAACTGTCTAAAGTCGTCGTGTACAAATGTAATTGTGTTTCCCTTGCTACTACCTAATGCATCTAGATTACTATAATCTAGGAATAATACGTACTATTACGACTACTGCTAGATTCTTAATTTTTTTAGAGAAGAAGAAATTATAAATACATTATCCATTGGCGGAACTAATGTTCCATAACTTCTACCTAGTACGTACTCTGAAAAAACAACTTGCTGTTGGACAATTATTCCATCAGGATGGAGGCCAGGTTGACATTCCATTCCATCGTGTTGTTTAAGGTTTAATTAACTACATTCTCATTCTTAATAGCTACCAAATTAATCTTTTTCTCTGGTATATTTAATTACCAACTCGAATGCATTCCCTTTCCTCGTCAACAACTTAAAGAATCCCCAACAGATGATTTTGACATTCTCTACTGCTGTTGTTGACTTGTACCTGTATGATTGATTTACTTTTAATTTCCATGTCCATGAACGTATTTAGTTGACTTTCTAGTAAATCCTTGTTAATGAAATAATCATTTAAATTTCCATCTATAAAAATAGCCATGCATCAAACTGACCAGCCACAGATCATTCATCCAACCCAAAAAATTGTCCAAATTTAATAAGTAAAACCCTTGGTTATATCCTTCCAATGAATCGAATCCTCTTTTTCCCCTTAAGCCAGCTGTTCATTATCATGCTGTTGCCAATACTCCATCAGATGAGTTTCCGGAATCTGGTAGCTGCCGCGGCCGGATCAGGAGGCCAATGGGCCTCACTTCAACCAAATATAGGCATACCAGCCATGCACATGCAGCTCCTCCACTTCGACAAAGTAGTCATATTAGACTAAACCACTTTCGGCCCATCTTCCAATCTCTCTTTGCCTGCCGGAAAATGCGTAAATGGTCCAAGAACAGTGGATTGTACGGCACATTCCGTTGAGTACGACGTTGTTAAAAACATCGTCCGTCCTCTCACGGTCCTAACCGATGTCTGGTGCTCTTCCGGTTCCGTCATGCCAAACGGAACATTCTACCATACTGGCGGAAACGGTGGCGGCGGAAACGTCGTTAGGGTTCTCAACCCCTGCAGTTCCGGGGGATTATGTGATTGGAATGAAAGACCTAATGCCTTGTTGGCTGCGAGATGGTATGCATCCAACCATGTTTTACCTGATAAGAGACAAATAATCATAGGTGGTCGTGGGCAATTCAATTACGAGTTTTACCCCAAGAATTCACTTACAAATAAACTATTTGCCCTCCCTTTTTTAAGCCAGACGAATGATCCTGGAGCAGAAAACAATTTGTACCCACTGGTGATCCAAAATGTTGATGGGAATTTGTTCTTTTTTGCTAACAACCGAGCAATCTTGTTCAATTACAAAACCGGGTCGGTCTTGAAGACGTACCCGACACTCCCTGATCGTAACCCGAGGTCATATCCGAGTACGGGTTCGGGTGTACTTTTGCCGTAAAAAAATCTTCAAGGAATAATCATCCAGGCCGAGGTTTTGGTATGTGGGGGTGCACCAACGGGTGCATACCAAAGTGCCTTACGTGGGGTTTTTCTAGGTGCGTTGAACACGTGTGGTCGGATGATCATAACCGACCCGAACCCACAATGGGTCATGGAGACCATGCCTTTGGCTAGGGTTATGGGTGACATGCAACTATTACCCGATGGCAATGTTGTGATAATCAACAGGGCAACCCGTGGAACCGCCGGGTGGGAACTCAGACAAGACCCGGTTCTTTCACCGATTATTTACAAACCTGATGCACCATTTGGAGCCCGTTTTGAAGTACAAAACCCGTCTACTAGATCGAGAATGTATCATTCCACTGCGATTCTATTCGTGATGGCCGGGTCCTTGTCGTGGTAGTAGCTCGCATGGAGGGTTTGAGCTTGGAACCCTTCTCGCCGTCCTATTTGGATCCGGATTTTGACTTTTTGCAACCACGAATTGTTTCACCAAAGTCGCAATCCGGGATCAAGTATGGAAGAAGTTTCAACATTCGTTTCACGGTCAACGGAACGGTGAATACTAATTTGGTTAAGATAACAATGGTTTCACCTTCTTTTACTACACATTCAATGTCCATGAATCACAGATTACTGGAGCTCAGTATTACACAAAGCGCCAGATTTATTGGAAAGTCAACATATAATATAACCGTGAGCCCGCCGAGCACCACCAATCTAGCGCTTCTGGGATACTATATGCTCTTTGTTGTGCACCAGGATATTCCTAGTGGTGGCATTTGGGTTCGATTGCAGTAAAACAATGTGAAGATATTTCCAAACTTAATTTACAATGGTATATCTAAATGGCTTCTATTCAGTAGTACAGAAAATGAAAGAGCTGAAATTATGATTAATTTCAAAGCTTTGTTTGTGTAAATTATAATGTTCTGTAACTGAATACATGTTTTTTTTTTTTCAAAATCAATCATATGATCATGTTGAATTCGTACATTAGGGTTGTTTGTGGTTGGTAAGTTACACAATAATTCACAACCAACTTTGTGTCATTTTATTCCTTAATGATTTGGGGAAATCAAGGATTATTATCAAAAGATTGAGGGTTTGATTTTCGCTGAGGTCATTTATTTATTTTTAGATATGTGGAAAAATCAAGACTCGAAGTCAAAAAAGAAATTAAATATTGTCGACATATAGTCTACTCCATATTGATTACATGAACTAATTAACTAGAGCTTAATTGTCATCTAATTATCTGATTGTAGTTTACCAAACAAAATTTGATCCGATTGTATCAAGTTATGTCAGATAAGTTACGTAGTTCTTCTGTCAAATGATTCATATTATGTACTTTCATGTAGTATAAATGTTATGGGATTGAAAAGACAAATAATATAAACACAAAGGACCAATGTTTTATGGACAAACTAAGTTTCTCTCTTAATTACACACGTGCGATTAAGTTGTCTTGCTAACGGGCAGGCTTGAATGAACGTGTTCAAGGTTCAGTTGAAGAGTGTCAAATCTTGCAAAAGCTGTTAACTTACTTAATGAAACTTCTGATTATCCATGGAGACGATCAGAAAGAGATCGTCTTTATAGTTGAAGAACTGTAATTTTTTGGTCCTCGATGTCTCTCAACGAAGCAAATGCACACAGTAAGTTTTCTAAGTAAACCTTGTGTCTTAGGGTTTATCGACGAGACTTGTTAATTTTGGACTAATTTAGTTAATTTCCTAATTTTCCTAAAGTCCACTCCATATGCATGCATTTTGGAGGAAATTTCCTTCTTTTTAACTATTTTATTTGTTTGGACTATGTTATCTTCCTTTTTGGTTTAACTATAGACCATAAATCAAATATTGAAACTAGTGATATATATACATCAAATTTTGAAAGTCTATTGAATAGTAGGAGTGAAGCATGATTTCAAGAAACTAATGTTGTAGATAATTTTTTAGATTCTTTGGCAGTAGGTGGTCCAAAATGGTTTTAAAGGCATTATTACCACCGGATGGTATGCGTCTCTGGTCGAAACATAATATAATTGGTGGTTTTGACTCATAAAATGTGGTTGGTTAAGTATTTTATCGAGATTTTGCATCTTTCTTTGTATATGGAAAAAAAAAGAAACACCCCTTGGCTCATACACCAGGGAAAAAACAAAAAAACAACTTCTTCACTCAAACTTCAGAGATAAATAAATGATGAAGGGTCCAAACAAAGAAAAGTACAGCTACATTTTACCAAAGAAGAATTTTCTCAGTAGTATAAGGTACGAGATTAAGAAAAGGACAACAAATCAAATAGAGTAATTGTATCTTATTCGAATCCATAAATGTCCCCAAGTAATAACAATGCACTTGTATTTCTTAAAACATTAGAATATATGGTTCTAGTATTATTTCAATGTATTTCACAATTATCCAAAGTACATGCATATATTCATTTTCCCTACATATAAATCCAAGTAATTGTTACTCATTTGGTAAACTTTTGCAAGGGCCCATTATTAATTTCGCACCATATAGTAAATTTAAACCTTGATCAAGGAATCACGAGTTGCCCCAGTGGTTTTACGGGGAGCAGCCTTCCTGGTGGACCCACGATCGATTCCTATGGGGGAGGGGGCAAAAATGGGGGGATTTGCGGGGTTAGTTTGTTGGGATAGATTAGGTAGCCCAAAAAATAATTGATCCAATGTCTTATAATTTTCTCAATACTTAAACTAGGAGTTTTCTCTTATTTGACATCTCATAAAAATCCCAAATCATTTATTGCAGAAAGATTTTTCTCATGTTATATATTCAACATTTCAAGATGCAAAGTTATTTTACTATATATATATATCATTAATTTTAAAGATTATGTCACCCAAATGGTGCACGACTAATACTTTTCACTTAGTTGTAAAGATTTTAAGCACATTAACAAAATATAACTTAAAATGAAAAAGTTAACTGACAAACATCATATATACATATATATATATATTAATAATCTCAAGAGAAACTCCATACACATATTACATGTTTATGATACACAACAACACTAAAGATTACCATAAAGTTTAATACAAAACGAGAACCTACAGTTGAAAGTCTAAAAAAAACAATCAGCTTAAAGACAACAACACAACAATATTAATATAACAATAGAAAATCCATGTTTTGTTCTTTGCAGGGAGATTCCTTTTACAACTACACCATGGATGATGTTCAATACCTCTCTTTCTTATTGTTCTTGTTGTTCTTGCTACTATTCTTATGGTTCTGCAATGTACGAAATAGCAAACATAAAACTCCTGTAAATTAGTATGTGTCTGCGTGTAAAATTTCAAGAATATTTAATAGTAGAAGATTGAATTAGACCTTTGAAGAACTTTTTGAAGAGACTTTGTAGTGGTCCATTTCAATGTCCTCTAAACACATTCCAGGAGTTACTTGCTGAAAAAATAACAAGAAACAAAACTAGGTGATTAAACAATTAAGAAACAGAAATATTAATAAATCAAGATTATTGAGTAGTCACAAACTTACATCAATGTCCCTCTGCACTCTTGGTGTTCTTGAATATGAGTGCTTCCTTTGAGGTCTAGATCCATTTCCAAGAACAAAAAGATCCTCTGCAATCTTGTCAGGAGCTAGTTGTGCATTGACCTTAGGAATTTTGAGTTCCTTAATCTCTTCCTCTTCTACGTCCGGTTGGTCATTTTTCCTTTTCTTTAATGTTTTTTTCCCTTTCCCTTTTCCTTCCTCTTTCTTCTTCTCATCGTCTTTCTTTTTCTCCACATCAGCATCATTTTTCTTGTTTTGCCCCTCATCTTTGTCTATCTCCACATCAGCACCATTTTTCTTGTTATGCTCCTCATCTTTGTTTATTACTTGATCAGAGTTTCTCTTGTTACCACTATTTTTGTGCTCTTCACCTTCCATGCCAGCAATTTGCTTATAGTTTTGCTCCTTTAAATACTCCCACTTGTCTTTAGCTGAGGGAGTTGTGTTATTTTCATCCAAGTTCAAACCATGGTAAAGATTCGAATGAATTGGCTTTGTATCCCTTAGATTCAAAAATTTAGCATCCAAATCATTGGCATCCTCATCTTCATCAATTGGTTTATACTTTAACCCATCCCTTCTTTTTTTCATTGGCAGTAGCATAGTTTCAGGTTTTTTTTCTTCATTACTTTGGCCACCTTCCTTCTTAGAACAACAAACATAGGTCTTAATTGACATATCTTCTCGCTTGTATTTTTTCCCTTCATGATCTTCCCAATCCATTTTCTCTTTCATAATTTCATAAATATATTTCTCTTTAGCAAATTCATCTTCACCATCATCATCTTTGCCATCCATTTTCACAGAAGAGAAAGCTTTGTGACGCTTTTTGATAGGCATTTCATCTGAAGGCTTAAAACTCACTTTTTTGGAGACAGTATTAGTCTTGTTGTTGTCATCCTCATCATAATCAGATCTATGATTTAGCGTTTGGGAAGCATAGTGACGGCTATCATGAGATGACCACATTTGGGAAGAAGCTCCACTAGATCTTGAGATTTTCATATGCAGATCCGGTGGTTTTTCAGCCACAGAGATGGATGCATCCCCCGATAGCGGAGGTGGTGATTTGAAAATCTTGCTGCTAGATTTGACATGGGCTTCTCCAGCTGAAGATAGTCTAGATGATCTTGATATCTCACCAGCATCTCTGGATGAGGTTTCTCTAGATGGTCCATAAGATCTTGAAGAGCTCCCACCACCATCTCTGGGAGCAGTTCTTCTAGATGATTGATGGCCTTGTGATGGCACCCTTGTTGGCCTTGAACTCCCACCAGATGACTGGTAAAATGATTTTGAGCTCCAACTGCTATGTACACGAGAGATTTCTCTAGAAGATCGATGTGATGAGATCCTGGATGGAATCGGTGATTTGCAGGACACATAACCACCATCTCTATGGAGGGTTTCTCCAGAAGATTGTCGGTGGTGTGATGATGTCCTGGATGGTGTGTGTGTTTTTGAGCCTTCACTTTCTCTATAAAGGGTTTCTTCTCCAGATGGTAGGGGACATCTTTTTAGAATATGGTTATCTTGGGCTACAGGGTTGTCTCCAATCCATTTGGGCCATTCGTGAACTGCTGGAGCTGATTGAGGTAAAACAACATCGGTACATGATTCAGATATTTGTTGCTGTAACCATCGAGAGTCGGACGATGACGATGACGAGGCTGGCAATCCGGACCTTTTGTGAAGTCTGCTGTGACCATGCCGAGTATGTCTTCGATTAACGTCTGAGCGTTGGCTCCTTGTTCTTTCCCACTTGAGGTCATTAGGCAAGTTGAAATTGTGAAGTTGTGGCCTCTGATGCCTAGGTGGAGAGTCATCCATTTTCAAAACCTTTGAGGTCTTCAACCTTTGCAAAAAAATAATAATAATAATAATAATAATAAAAATAAATTAAAAAGAAAGTTATTTTAGCTGAATAATTACAGAATAATTAAGAATTATTTCAAGAACAAATAGGATGGAAATGAAATTCATATTAAAACATAGATAGTGATAGATATTATAATTAGCAACTAATTAACAAGTAGATCAAAAATGGAAAAAAAGATACATTAATTTCATACGGAAATCCTGTAGATTTATATAAATGCTGGTGGTTAGTTTGTATATATGCCTGGATACATAATGAGTAATAGATCTAAGCTAAAACATATATGTGAAAAGGAAAAAAAAAACCCTCACAATCATTTAATCGGTTACATTGAACGAAAATTTTGAGTTTTTTATTCACCTCCACAAAATGAAACAGTTTAGTCATATAATTTCAAGTAGATCAGAACGAAATTCAATGAAAAGCTAACTAGTGATACACTCAATTGGCATATTAACAACCAGATAAAAATTAGAGAAAGGAGACAATATAATTTCACATGTATGTGTCCTATAGTTGCATATAAATGTCGGTGGCTATTTGTATATATGCATAGATTTATTCTGAGAAACAGATCTAAGCTAATACAGAAATATGGGGGCAAAAACAACATAAAACATCATTTAATTGATTTATTGATTAAAGACTGGAAATTCTTTGTGAAAACTATAGATATTAATCAGTATACTTGGTCATACTTAGAAATCTTTCACACTTATACAAAAATTTATTAATTAGGAAAAAAAACTTACGGGTATGGATGATTTAGTAAACTGAATTGAGTCTCCGTTACTTGATCAACAGTAATGAAATCCCATCCATTTGATCCTTAGAATATAACTTATGCGAATGAACACCTATGAACATAAAACTCAGAGTCAAAATACGAGAAAAAAAATAGAGGACAAAAATTTCGGATAGAAAAGGTTATCAAAAGAAAAAAAAATTGAATTACAGAACACCAATGCCACACTTCAATCTCTATTAATCTGTTCATCAAAACAACACACAATGGGTTTAACCAATGATCGCCAATGAGATAAAACTAAGACGCTAAAATATCATATATAGAAATTACCATCACAAAGGAAACTCTTCTATATGAAGGTGATTAGATAAGTAATTGAGTTTGAAAATGTTTGTGTCTATTAATGTGATAAGAAAGGAACTTACATGAAAATTAACACTGTCTGAAACCAAAATCTTGAATCAAAAGAAAGGAAATCATTTTGAGGCTGAAGAAGAAAAGTTAAATTTCTCAAGTGACTAAGAATTTTTTTGCTTGGAGGAAGGAAGAGCAGCAAAGGGTCATTTATATGGGGAGTCCGAGTAAGGGAGGAGAAATTAATTACAAGGTGATTGTTGTTCTCAATTGACACTAATAAAAACTTAGTCTAATTGTGTGAGATTGACTGAATTTGAATTTGGATTCTCAGGATTAAGAAATAGTAGAGATAGTAGATTTATTCAGTGAAATGGTTCAGCCACACACTTGCACAAAAGACAAATGAACTCTTCTAAAATATCTCATTTTCTAACATAAAATATAATAAATAGACCGATATATTTATAATTTCATACGATCTACAAGGTTTAATAAGTCTTTTCAATTATGAATTCACCGCTTTTATCATTATTTGTTAAAAGATATCAGTAAAACTTGTGAACTTAAAGGCATTTTAGAGTTTCTTCGAAACATCCTTTTGCTGATTTTGAATTACGCAAATCCAATTATGAGAACCAACTCGTTTATTGTTTTTTTTCCTGCTAACGTAGTATATCTGTCCGATATCTTTATGTATGACAAAACCATTTTTCCACCCACCTCAAAATGATCCCTTTTTTGAGCTTAACTTCAGGATATAGTTATTTTTTGCACCCAGTTTAAAATTATATTCAGTAAAATATCTTCCAGAAAATTAAATTAGTTACTAATGATTAAATGATCTTTAATCTTGTCAAAATTTATATATTGATGATAAAAGAATCAATATTTTGGGAAGATAATTTTTTATGGTAGGGTGACTTAGTAATGCAAATCTCTAGAGCACATAAATTCCTTAAAAAAAGGTACAAGTACAATATATTATAAGATCCTCTCAGTTATGATACATTATAATCAATTATTAGCTTAATCTACAATTTATGAAGTTTCATTAAGTTATTAATCTAAATAACATTCAATGCACAATAAGTGAGGCATTATAGATATCTCTTTTGAGCCGAATAAATCTACTCTTGTCTGTAGCCACCACTCTCCCTGAATAAAAAATAATTTACAACCGTTGTAAGGTAATAAATGATGTACATCCACACATCCTTCCAAATTTTGCCTTGAAAAGAGTTGAAAAATTCTGTTCACATTGTTAGAACAATTATGACGATGAGATCATAAAGCACCGTAGCTTCCTTGGATGACCGCTCTAAGTATTTATTTATTTATTTCTCTTTTGGGGTAAAGGTTACACAATGAATCCTTACAAATTTCCATCTTCTGTACATAATATTTTCTATATTACAATTTTCGATTTCATATAAAGCAATTCTAAATATTGTATATAATCAAACAATTTTTACTGTCATACGTAATTTGTTAGTTTAACAGGCATATGCATTTTTTTTTTGTACCAATAATTTTTTTTTTTACTTCTTATATACTATTGTATGATTTACAGGTATGCTAGCCTTACTTTTATCAAAATTAAAGCGGTAAAAAATGATATGACAAGCCCCTTTGGCTAACTAGCTAGTTTAATCCAGGCAATGTACATTTGAATTAACTCATTGATCCAATCCAAATTGCCTCTCATCTCTGTAAAGGATGCAAAACTCTTCAGGAGTTCTAGTTATAAGTCTTTTGAACAAAACTTGTGTGTAAATAATAATAATTACTTGTTTTACATCATTTGTTTTGCTAGTAATCTTTTCATCAATGTGTCAAAAAATCCAAAGCTACACGAGATGAGAAGGAAATATCTAGGCATGTGGAAAAACATTACTAAGGAATACTTGTGTACAGATGGTAACCAAAAACATACGATAGACCATGAAGTACGCACTGATTATGGGCATCCAAAAACTATAATCAACAAGATTGGGCTGACCCTAAAAGTTATGTAATAGAGAGGCAAATTATATGGTCGACTTAGCAAACTCAACCCAGTGGGGAAGGGGGTGCATTGGCTAGCCATGGTCCTCCATGTAGAAGAGTTAGATAAGGTTTTCATGGCATACTGTAATGATATATCCATGCTCGAGTCAGGATTAGAACTCCAGAATTAAAGAGAGGAAGGAGACTTTTAATAAACTAAAACTTCCATTGTTTTCTTCTGCTTACATTAATAGAACTGAAATCACATATTTATAGATAAATTAACTACTAAAAAGTAGGGAAGAATAACTGACACTGACTCCATAACTCTACTAATTACCCTTAAAACTGACCCACTACATAGTAAACTACAATGTAACTATTGATAATTACTAATTAAAACAAGGTAATTTAACTATATTAAATACATAGCATTACATATACATTGAAGAATTGTTGGAATACTAGAGACGAGGGTCATAGCTAGTGGGCTTCCAAATTAATATTAGTTAACAATAAATATGATGAATGTCAAATTTACATGTTTATAAACATTACTTTTAATCACTTTTCCATTATAATATAGTAACAATAAGATAGGAGTTATATAATTACAAGCAATTTTTATACTTTTCTCTTATCAACGGCCCAATTGCAAATTGCCAAACATTCTAGGCAAAATTGGAAAAAAAAAAAGAAGCAAAACTTTGGTAATTCGGCTGAAATGCAATTTGGAGGGACAAAAATTAGGACCACTTCTGCTCTCATCCGTTTCCAAGAGTCAACTTTGGGATCATTTTCTTGGCCTCAAATCTTATCAAAATGGAGCAAACCGTAGTGGCCAAAAAAGAGGCACACCAGGTGGGGTCTTATGGTCTAGAAGATCAATGCAAAATGCCAAGAATACGAAGCTAGAATCATGCCTGAAGAGCCAAGCAAGAAATGGACTCTCCTGATGAACCTAATAACTGTCGTACGTGGCTGAATCCATGAATCAAACTTCTCCCATTCTATAAAATGACAAAACGATGCAAATTTTTGTGGAGGCGAAGGCAAAGAGTAGAATAACATAGAAAGATTAGGGTTTAGTTGAGTATAGAGAGAGAGGAAGGCTCTCCAATAGAGCATGTCAAGGAGGATAGGAGAGACAGACACTTAGGCCAGTGGTATCCCAACTCACCCGAGTGGTCTGTTGTTCTGCACAAAGGTTGTATTTTTTTATCTCTGTTTTTCTCTCTTAGCCTTGTAATCATATTTTATACTCAGTTTTGAATGAATTTTGTGTTTAAGATACTGACTTTGAGTAGTTAAATTGTTTGTTGGGGTTGAATCCTCCTTTCTATGTGAAAATACTTTACATTTGCATTTGGACTGTGTAAGTAGAAGAAGTTTTAATGCTTGAATTGATCTTGTGTATAGCCTGATCATCTAGACACTAGTGTTTACATATTGTGCAAATCCTGGCTAGGGTAAGTATGATTGAGAACGATTAAAACTGGTTGTGACTTAGAGTTAGCCGTCTAGGGTTTCAACTAGTATCAAAGATACCTAGTTAGCATGTGTGATTGTGAAAACTTAAAATTAATGGCATGCAGGGTTTTAGACATTTTACTCGAATGAGAGCTTGTTACTTACTAGAGGGATTTCCTTAAGAATATCGACAGAGCCTTAGGAATAATTAAGCGTCTGATCGAACACACTTTGTACCACGTGTATGCATAATAACTGTAGAAATAACATAGAAAAGGATCAGGAACCCCAGGCTCCTTTTTACTCAGCGCATTCCAATGTACTTACTAAATTGTCGCCTTTCCTTCCTAATTTGTTTGTTTACTCTGTTTTACATTCTATTTTCTGGTG